AACCTTTTCCTTGTTTTCATCTACAAATTAATTCTCCATTTGTCGAAGTAACAATATTCGTGATACAGTTTCTTCATGTCTTTTTGAAAGGTGAATTTCTTGAACAAACCAGGATATCATCTTTAGTCAAAGCTTACTTATTATAAGTAAGCTTTCTTGACTCAAGAGCCTGGACAAGTATCTGATCAAGTGAAGTGTGGTGCACCTGGCTGGCTCAGCCAGTGGAACTTGTGGCTTTTGATCTCAGGTTTGTGGGTTTGAGCCCCACGTTGGGTGTAGAGATTACTTAAAAATAAAATCTTACAAGAAAATCAGGTGAAGTGCTTTGAAGGCTCAGAGCCTGGAGGCAAATCATCTGGTTGGGTGCAAAAGCCAAAGGACTGTCCGAGCCGCACTCGGACCTCTTCTGTGAAGGTACCCACTACTGTGTGGATGCTGGGTCCCAGCACCTATTTTTTAACTTTTTTTTCAACTTTTAAATTGTGTTTCATTGAAGTATAGCTGACACACAATGTTACATTAGTTACAGTGTACATCACAGTGGTTCAACAAATCTCCGTGTTGTGCTCTGCTCACCACAAGTGTAGCTACCACCTGTTTCTATGCTCTTATAGTACCATTGACTATATCCCCTATGCTGCACCTTTTATCCTTGTGGCTTATTCATTCCGTAACTGGAAGCCTGTATCTCCCACTCCCATTTACCCGTTTTGTCTATGCCCTCATCCTCTTCCCCTCTGTCGACCATCAGTTGGTTTTCTGTACTTAGGGATCTGTTTCTGCCGTTTGTTTTGTTTTTTAAATTCCACATATAAGTGAAATCATATAGTATTTGTCTTTCTCTATCTGACTTATTTCATTTAGCATAATACCATGTAGGTCCATCCATGTTGTCACAAATAACAGGCTCTTGTTCTTTTTTATGGTTAAGTAATATTCCATCGGGGTGTGTGTGTGTGTGTGTGTGTGTGTATCTCATCTCTTCTTTTTTTTTTTTTTAAGATTTTATTTATTTATTTGACAGAGAGAGACACAGCGAGAGAAGGAACACAGGCAGGGGGAGTGGGAGAGGGAGAAGCAGGCTTCCCACAGAGCAAGGAGCCCGATGTGGGACTTGATCTCAGGACTCTGGGACCATGACCTGAGCCGAAGGCAGACACTTAACGACTGAGCCACCCAGGCGTCCCTGTATATCTCACCTCTTCTTTATCCATTCATCTATCAATGGACACTTGGACTGCTTCCATGACTTGGCTCTTATAAATAATGCTGTAGTAAACATCGGGGTGCATATATTTTTTCGAATTAGTGTTTTCATTTTCTTTGGGTAAATACCCAGTAGTGGAATTGCTGGATCATATGGTAGTCCCATTTTTAATTTTTTGAGGAACTGCCATAGTACTTTCCACAGTGGCTGCACCAATTCACATTCCCACCAACAGTGCACAAGGGTTCCTTTTTCTCTACCTCCTCACTAACACTTGTTATTTTTTGTCTTTTTGATTCTAGCCATTCTGACAGGTCTAAGATGATATCTCATTGTGGTTTGGATTTGCATCTCCCTGATAATTAGTGATGTGGAGCATCTTTTTATGTGTCTTTTGGCCATCTGTATGTCTTTGGAAAAGTGTCTGTCCAGGTCCTCAGATCATTTTTAATCAGATTATTTGGGTTTTTTGGTGTTAAGTTGTATAAATTCTTCCATGTATTTTGGATATTAACCCCTTATCAGATATATCATTTGCAAATATCTTCTTCCATTCAGTATGTTGCCTTTTGTTTTGTTGATGGTTTCCTTTGCTGTGCAGAAGCTTAGGGAAGCTTTTTTAAAGAGAGTATTTAATATTTACAGACACGTCTTGCCTTTTACTTTTCAGCTCATCCTAGTCTGACTTCCACTTCTGTATTAGTCAGGACCTCCAGAGAAAGAGGACCACCATCTGTTTCTTTCTCTTTGTGCATATGTATATATTTAGGCATCTGTCTATACATATAGAAAGAGAGAGGGAGGGGCGCCTGAGTGGCTCAGTCGTTAAGCGTCTGCCTTCAGCTCAGGTCATGATCCCAGCATCCTGGGATCGAGCCCCACATCAGGCTCCCTGCTCAGCGGGAGGCCTGCTTCTCCCTCTCCCTCTGCCTGCCTGTCTGCCGACTTGTGATCTCTCTCTCTGTCAAATAAATAAATAAAATCTTTAAAAGGAAAAAAGAGAGAGGGACTTAAGAATTGGCTCATGCAATTATTGGGGCTGGCAAGTCTGAAATCTTAAGGGCCAGCCAGCAGGCTGGAAGCTCAGGCAGAATTTCTATGTTAGAGACTTGAGGCAGAATTTCTTTTCAGGGAAACCTGTTTTTAACCCTTAATGTTTTCAACTGATTGGATGAAGCCCACCCGTATTATCAAGGGTGATCTCCTTTACCTAAAGTCAACTGATTGTAAATGTTAATCACATCTATAAAGTATCTTCAGAGCAACATCTAGACTACTGTTTGACAATAAAACTGCAATCATAGCCTAGCCAGTTTGACACACAAAATTAACCATTACAGCCTTTATTACTCTACCACATCTCCTTTGTTGGTAAATCCAATGGACACTTTTCACATCTTTTCTTGCTTGATCACTTTGCAACATTTGACATTTTGGACCCCCACTACTTCTTGAAACCCTTCTCCCTTAGTGTCAATAACCCTAGTCTCTCCATTCTCCTGTCCTGGTTTTTCCTTTTCTGATATTTCAGACTCATCTTCTCCCAATTATTTGTTGATAATCTCTCCTGTCCTTGGCCCTCTTATTACTCCCATGATTGATATTTCCCAAAACTAAAATTCCATTTTAGAATTCTCTGCTGAGCATCAGATCTCTGTATCCAGTTACCTATTAATACATCTCTACCTGGATATTGCATAGGCATTCCAAACTTGGCTTGTCTAAAACTGAAATCTTATTCTTCCCTCCTTAAACTTGCTTTTTGCATCTCTGCTGTTCTCTTAGTTGTGGTACCGTATACCTAATTACCCAAGCTAGGAATCTGAGAGGCATCCTCTGACTTCTCCCTTATATTTTCCATTTAAAACTTTCTCATCTCGGGGCACCTGGGTGGCTCAGTTGGTTAAGCGGCTGCCTTCGGCTCAGGTCATGATCCCAGGGTCCTGGGATCGAGCCCCACATCGGGCTCTCTGTTCAGCAGAGAGCCTGCTTCTCCCTTTCCCTCTGCCTGCCGCTCTGCCTACTTGTGCTATCTCTCTGTCAAATAAATAAATTTTTAAAAAATCTTAAAAATAAAAAAAAAAACCTTTCTCATCTCTATCCTTATCTCAATGAAGAGAGCTTCACCCTCATTTTCTGTCATCTGGGATTGTGTTGTGGTCTTTCTGCCTCCTGTCAGTCTCTTTCCAATCCATCTACACTGCTGCCACAGTGATATTTTAAAAATGCATTTAAAAATTTGTTTAGTAGCTCCTAATTGCCCACAGAATTAGAATTCTTCAGCAAGCATACAAGGCCCTCCATGACTAGCCTTTCCTACTCTTTATCTCCCACTGTTCCTTGCTTACCCATCCCACTCTCAAGTCATACTCAAGTATTTGTAGAATGCAGACTTGCCACGTTGCTTGCTTCCATGGGCTGTGCAGCTGCTGCCTCTGCCTGTCATATCCACTGCCTCTGTCACTTCCCTGCCTCCCTGCCCCTACCTTGTGGATCTAGAAAAATTATGTCAGTACCTACTTTGATCTTCTCATTCGAATAACCTTCCTGATTCCACAAGTAGATTTGACCATGCCTCCTTTCTGACATCATTATACGTTGTTTGCAGCCCTACTATACCACTTACTACTGTATTATTTTTTTGTTTAAGTGTCGCCTTTCAGTGGACTATCAACTCTTAGAAGTGTTTCCACTGCCTGGCATGTAATAGGCTCTTACCAGATGCCTGGTGATGGTGGAGATGATGAGCCTGGAGTGGAGCACATAGTTCATTTAAATAAATGTGGAGGAGTGCGGGGCTTGGACACATACAGAGGAAAGTGGTAGCTATTTCTTTATCCTCTTCTGTCCCTCCTAGAGGCGGCTGCTGCAGTTTTACTACCAGATTCCTTTTGATTTATACTTTCTATAATCTGATACCTATTCTTAGCTTTTATTTTGCTTTCATCCTTGGAGCAGTTGAAGAGACAGGAAGCTGTTAAATTACTATTACAAAGTCCCACTGTCCCATTTCATTCCATCACAGGAATACGCATACATCAGCTTGTTCTCACGTGATTCTTGTGTGCCAAAAGAAGTCTTTTCTCAGCCAGTAAAAAGAATTCATGTAATAATATTAGTATTTTTTTCAAGTTTTTTAATCCTCCTATGTCCCCAAAATGTCTCCATGCATTTAATATCAAATTAAAAACTAAACCAGTTCTGTGTTAATCGTGAGGGAAGAAATAATGGTCTTTAAAGATGGTTAAAGGAATAATGAAGACTTCTTGGGTGTTTAACATGAAAATTTCAGATGACCAAGGGTTCTGCTGTACACATTGGAGTCAAAGGATAGGTCAGCATCTCAATTTAGACTTATGTATTACTTTTTACTGTAAATACATTTGTAGAAGCTACTTGTGGTGTAACTCCTTATGTATTTAATATTTACCTGACTCTTGGTTTTCTTGGTTGATTTTTTAAAGGGCTGAAGAATCTATTTATGAATTCTTTGCCCTTTATGGAATGTGATACCTTGGTTTTGAGTCCACCTGTCCCTTTCCCTTCACTTAATTTTATCTTATTGTTTTGCATTGTGTTTCTAAAATAATGGCTTTGGCTTGTTTTTTTCCTGAATGTTTCTGCAGTTTGATTTGAGTATCTGGCTTTGGGCACCCCTCCTGAACTTGGACTCCATCTGTACTTGTGATTTTTGGAAGGCAGAACTCAGTGTTTTCTAGGGAAGATGGCTTTTTTTTTAATATTATATATGTTTGTGTCTCCCCCCCCTTCCTTTTTGCTTTCTCTTTAAAAGACTGGAAAGAAAGCAGTTAAAGCAGTCCTGTGGGTATCAGCAGATGGACTTAGAGTTGTGGATGAGAAAACTAAGGTAAAAATTTTATAAGCTTAAATGTTACTGCTTAATTTTTTTTAATCCCTAATGATCAAATGTAATGCCGTTAAGCTGCTGTAGTCATTCTGTATCCTTCCACTTCGTCCAAAGTACAGTCTTCTGAGATATGAGTGTTCAGAAAACAAATTTAGTTATTCATTTACCTTATGAAAAATAGAATTCTCACAACATTTTGCTCTACATAACAGCATGTTTAGTGTAGTAAGCATTTGCATTTAATGTTAAAATTTTGTTCTTACACATTTTAAGAAAATGTTCACCGCCACAAATTTGATGTAAAACATGATGGAACTTTTACCAAAGTTTTAAAAAAATATATCACATCTGAAATTTCTTCTTGTTCCTTAATAAAGGGAACTATATTCTTAGAAAGTGATATTTGAAATGAGTAACCTGTTGTTTAACTGAAAACCCAAATTAAGCAAAATCTTAAGGACTAACAAACGGCTCATTTGGTTAACATTTACTTAGAATCTACGCAATATCTAACATCATAGATGGCATTTTGCATTGGAAAGAAAGTGATCCTACATGCCTAAAAACAGAGACATAGACTCTGACCTTAGAGAGCATTAAGTGTTATATAGGCACATTTAATCATTAAATAAAATTTCCTAAGAGACCTAAAGTCTGGAGAAATTTTAACAAGAAGGCAGTTTTTCAAAATAATTCATATGTCACTGAAAGGGGGAGGCAGTCTGGCAGGTAAAGAGCAGTTTTGGTGGATAACTTACACATTTTAAGTACAACTATTACTATATTTGCATTGGTTCTTTTGAACTTCCATCTGAGGCCCCCCCCCCCTTTTTTAAGTTCAAGAGAACTGGTAGTCTTAAATGTACATTATTATTATTATTGGAAACAGTGATCATTTTATTTAGCTTATTGTTAAGAACTTGTACAGTTTTCTTTAGTGTTTTGGATGAAATGTGTTGTACAAGGAGGCAGTTTTTGTTTTATACCAGTTCGTAAAGGTATCGCCCCCTGGTGGCTACTTATAGTACTGGCATTCATTAGTTTGGTTCTTTCCACTTTAGTGATAAGAGTAATTGGTGGCTTTTCACCCTTGGACCCATCATGAATGGAAAAGAAATTTTGCAAGGTATATAATCTATAAAGGGCTCATATTTAAAATATATTAAGGAACTCCTACATGTTAATAAGAAAAATGGCAGACAATCCAAAAAACTTGAATCATATTGCTAAAGAGGAAATTCATAGTAATCAAGGTTATGAAAAATAAAATCATAATGAGCCACCAGAATTGCAGAATTTTAAAAAATTGGCTGGCAGGTTTGTGGAGCAACAGAAATTCTCATAGTGATGCTTTATAAAAGCCATTTTTTTGATCATTTGTTTTAGCACTTATAGCCCCACCTCAGCATCTAGGGATTCTGGGCTGTAGGAATATAACATAGAAGAGCCTCAAGATTTTAAAAAAACATTTTGTGTAATGTTTATACTGTGTAGCTACAATGCCATTCAGCAAGTATTTAAAGAAAGTCATACTCAAAATGATCATTAAGTTAATACAAATTATATGGGAATTGGATGAAATATATTGATTCATATATATTACCAAATTGAACATGAAATGTACTATGATAAAACTAAAATCAGCAAGCATATGTTTTAGAACATGAAGATGAAGTGAGAGAGGCATCTGGGCAAAGTGCCTCTTGGGATCTCTTCTACATCAGATTCTTAGTATTCAGACTGCTGGCCTCAGATCTTGCTGTTTCATAGTCTCGATGCATTAGTTTTAGAGACTCTGTATTGTGAAATGAACATCCTGTGTTTATTCTGAGAAGCTTGAATAACCTGGTAAATCCTCTATTTCTTTGTGCTTCCCTTTTTCTAGGACCTCATAGTTGACCAGACAATAGAAAAAGTTTCTTTCTGTGCCCCAGATAGGAACTTTGATAGAGCCTTCTCTTACATATGCCGGGACGGCACTACTCGACGCTGGATCTGTCATTGCTTTATGGCTGTCAAGGACACGGTGAGTCCAACAGTGTAGATTTCATCATGACTAGCCTCGGCTAGCCAAACTCACCCTGGGTTGGCTCGGCCAAGCAGTTTCCACTACATTTTTGTATAAGCACGTGCTCTTATAGCACTTGGAAGTGCCTAAACTAGCCTGCTTTCATTCCTTTTATTCAGGTAGTTCACACTCTTGGTGTGACCCTGCAGCTCAGAGAGCAAGATGATTAACTGAGAGCCAAGGTCTTTAAGGAAAGTAAAAGTGCTCTGGTGATGGTGGCTGCTAAACTTTACTTGAAACTTTTCATTATTAGAACCGGGGTGACGGGTATTAAGGAGGACACGTGTTGTGATGAGCACTGGCTGTTATATGCAGCTAATGGATCGTTGAACACTACATCAAAAACTAATGATCTACTATACGCTGGCTAACTGAACATAATAAAAAAAGAACTATTTTCAAGATTCTTACATGTATTTGTTTGCGAATACATCTAGGTAGAGGATATTGGCATTAGGGGCACCTAGGTGGCTCAGTCGGTTGGGCATCTGCCTTTGGCTCAGGTCATGATCCCAGAATCCCAGGATTGAGCCCTACTTTGGTCTCCCTGCTCAGCAGGAAGCCTGCTTCTCCCTCCGCCCCTCACCCCACTCATGTTCTCTCTCGAAAAAAAATTTTTAAAAAAATTAAAAAAAAAAAAAGACATTGGCATTAAAAGGTGCTTATTAATTTATTTGCAAAGGACTTCTACTACAAATGAAAGAACTGAGTTGGGATATATATTTTTTCAATTAATTAAAAAGAAATACTGAGGTGCCTCGCTGTCTCAGTCTGTGGCACATGGGACTTTTGATCTCGGGGTCACGAGTTCAAGCCCCATGTTGGGGATAGAGATTACTTAAAAAAAAAAAACTAAATTATGGTACAATGAACTTTGCCAGAAATTGTTGCAAAGTAGAAAATTTTGGTTTTGTTTAAAAGTAGGGAAAAATTAGGGGTGCCTAGGTGGCTCAGTTGGTTAAGCGGCTGCCTTCGGCTCAGGTCATGATAGCCCCGCTTCGGGCCCCCTGCTCAGCGGGGAGTCTGCTTCTTTCCCTCTCCCTCTGTCCCCCACCCCATGCTCGCTTGATCTCTCTCTCAAATAAATAAAGTCTTTGAAGAAAAAAATAACCTGTCGTCTTTCATGTAAAAATTACCCAGAACTCTGACATAAAAGACAAGTCTCTTAGATGATGATGATCTTAACTATAGTAGAGCATTGAGTGTATAATTGTAATTATTGAGTTTTTTAAAGTCCAGACAGAATAAGGCAGTATAGCCATTCCTGAAGGCTACAACTCAGTAAACTGTTGCCAATGTTTATCTGAAAAGGAAGTGATGGCCATACTCTAAAATTCACCAAAATATTTTTCAAAGCTCTTGGAAAGGGGCGCCTGGGTGGCTCAGTTGGTTAAGCATCTAACTTCAGCTCAGGTCATGATCTCAGGGTCCTGGGATGGAGCCCTGCATCAGGCTTCCTGCTCAGTGGGGAGTCTGCTTCTCCCTCTCTCTTTGCCCCTCCCCGTGCTCATGCAGCTCTCTCTCTCTCTCAAATAAATAAATAGAATCTTAAAAAAAAAAAAAAGCTCTTGGAGACAGTGGTATAAACTGTTAAGAGTCTAGGCTCTGACTCAGATCTGGGTTTCAGGTCTGATTCTGGTTAGTAACTGTGGGTTTTGGGGTAAGTTACTTAACATTCTTTAAGTCTTACTTTCCACTTCTATAAAATAGAGATAATAGTTGTGAAGACGAAATTAGATAATTAATAAAAGCACTCTTAGTATAGGGTCTGGCACATGGTCACTGCCCTAAAAATGGTGGCTAATACTGTCAAAGCTATTCCTCCTTGGTTTGACGCAGTGCTTTGAGAATGAGTTGAAGTAAATAAACTACACTTTCTTCTTCTGTCTCTCAGACCTTAAGTTAAGTCACAAAGTGGTGTATTTTGCTATCGCTACACAAAATCCAAAGGGTTCCCTTACATTAATTAAAACACTGTTTTACTGTCAAATCCTGGTCCTTCAGGCTGTTTGAATCTCCTTGGCGAGTGGTTGTTCTGTATCAGAATCACCTGGAGGGCTTGTTAAAAACAGTTTGTTAGCTGGGACACCTGGGTGGCTCAGTTGGTTAAGCATCTGCCTTCGGCTCGGGTCATGATCCCCGGATCCTGGGATTGAGTCCCTCATCGGGCTCCTTGCTCAACTGGGAGCCTGCTTCTCCCTCTCCCTCTGCCTGCTGTTCCCCCTGCTTGTGCGCGTGCTCTCTCTCTGACAAATAAATAAAATCTCTAAAAAATAAAATAAAAATATAACAGTTTGTTAGGCCCCACCCTCAGAGTTTTTCAAAATTCAGTGGGTCCCAGATGGGGCTTGGAGAGGGCCTTTCTTCAAGAACTTCTACCCTAGGCCTAGGAGAAATAATAAGCTTCTTTGGGCTGTAGATCTATTCTTGTAATAGAGCTGTTCAAATGCAGACAGGTTCTGAAATTCTTTCAGTACTCCCTCCTATTTCATGCTTCAGTGCCCTACTCTTATATCATCCTCCTAAGAAGTTAGATGGAAACTCATGTGGATGAATAAAAAGTAACTGTCAGTTTTTAATAGGCAGTCATGTGAAATCTTACAGTTTCTGTTAGTGTGACAAAAGGCATTTCATACATAACTTCCTATGGTATCTGATATTGGCATATAAAATTCAGGGAAGTTACTTGCTCAGAACCATATGTAGGAGTAGCTGCCTACACAGTGTGATTTTGAAAATTCCACAAAGGGCTCCCTGTTCTCAAATACCTCTTCTCACTATTAGTGATTCCAGCAGTTACTATATCATCTTTGATTTTTTTATTCCACAATTAGGGGTATGGTTTAAAATACAAGAATAACCCTAATAAAAACAACCCACTGAGTTTATTAAATTTACTCAAGGTTATTCAGTATATCTTTAAAACAATATTTAGTTTATATAAAGCTCTCCTCTCCTCCCACACACAAACAAATCAAATTTTATCCGTTTAATTCCTTTCTAAGTAGGGAGTGTGGATGAAAACCTGCTTTAACTTTTGCCTGTGTGTGTTTGGAGGGAGAGTTAGGGTAAGAGAGAGCTAGAAGATAGGGAAGGTAAGGGGGAAAGCATCAAAGTGATGAGGACCTAAAATGGGGAAGGGTGCTTAGGGAGGGGAGCATTTGGAAAGGGGAGACTGAGAAAGCTAAGCTTTCCTTTTCATAATTCCCGAGTCATCTCTGGAGTTGTATTTAGTTATCCGAAGTTTTAAGTTTGCATCTTTTGTTCCTAGATACATTGACAGCCTATTTAGGCTCCTGAAACTTGCCCTGCCTTTTCAGTAGTTTCTTAGAAATGCTTGGTACATATTACCACTGTTCGCCTAAGTGGCAAATGCAGGATTTGTGTCAAGACTTAGGGCTTCAGACCTTGAATAGTGTCTCCTAAGCTGATGGCCAGAGCTAACATAAGTGAGAGAGGGAGCCTGACTGATAAGGAGGTCTCAGTGGCTGCTCACAAAAGCAAATGCCCACCACAGTAAAGTATCATAAGCATTACCTAAGATAATTTATTCATTTAATTTGTCATATTGATACGTTAAATTATAATTTTTAAGCTGGAGTTTCCAACATTTTGCCATGTATAAAAAACAGACTTATTTGTGGTCCAGGCTAATTTGTAGTTGTTGGTACTGTAACTCTAAAAAAGTTTTTTAAACCTTCTCTTATGTATAGGGTGAAAGATTGAGTCATGCAGTAGGCTGTGCTTTTGCGGCCTGTTTAGAACGGAAGCAGAAGCGGGAGAAGGAATGTGGAGTGACTGCTACTTTTGATGCCAGTCGGACCACTTTTACAAGAGAAGGATCATTCCGTGTCACAACAGCCACCGAGCAAGCAGAAAGAGAGGAGATCATGAAACAAATCCAAGATGCCAAGAAAGGTACAGTCTGTTCTGCTACAACTGCAGTTATTTATTTTTTTTTTTTAAGATTTTATTTATTTGAGAGAGAGAATGAGATAGAGAGCATGAGAAGGGGGAGGGTCAGAGAGAGAGGCAGACTCCCTGCTGAGCAGGGAGCCTGACGTGGGACTCGATCCCGGGACTCCAGGATCATGACCTGAGCCGAAGGCAGTCGCTTAACCAACTGAGCCACCCAGGCGCCCCACAACTGCAGTTATTTAAGCCGTTTTTCCCAGCAGGTTAATATTTGGAAGCTCGCAGGGGTAAGCTTTCTCACAGCCAGAGAGAACTCTTAGCAATATATGAAGACCTTCAGAACAAAGCTGAAAACCTAAACAAAGGCCTTTCCTTTAGAGTGGCTTGTTTTGTGGCTTCCAAGGTGTTTACCATTTCCAGTACTGGAAGCTGTCTGGGGAGGAGGCTGAGAATGCATTTGAAGAAGCTGCTCTGAGGGAGCCTGACTGACAAGGAGGTCTCAGGGGCTGCTCACCAAAGCACAGTGCCCACTACAATGAAGCATCATAAGCTTTACTTAAGATAATTTATTCATTTCATTTGCCAGAGTGATATGTTAAATTGTATATTAAATTATAATTTTAAGCTGGAGTCCCCAACATTTTGCCTTGTGTAAAAACAAACTTATTTGTGGTTCAGGCTAATTGGTCGTTGTTGGTACTGTAACTCTAAAAAAGTTTTTTAAACCTTCTATTACCCCCCATGTTTAAAAACAAAATTGGGGAAATCTACATCCTGGAACAGACTTCTAATTCTGATGCATCTGATCTCTCTGAGAAGCAAATGCTACCAATGACCTACATCTTGAAGGAAGAAGTACAAGTTCCAGGTTCAGGCTGCAAAGGGCCCACTGATGGTGATGCTGGGTGCAAATGCAGAGGGAGATTTCACAGCAGCGCCCTTCGTAGTAGATGATGGCTGTGTTTTCGTGCTTCAGTGAAAAAAGTCCGTGGATTTTGAGAAGCTAACCCATCTTTTTCCCAAAGCCCTGTTAACTGTAGTGTGTGATTTTGCAGAGTTGGTGAATTTTTTGCAGGTACACATGGCAGCATAGCAGAAATGCCTGTGCAAGTTACTCAGGAGTCTGTTGTCCAAAGTCAGGTTTGAGTGTATTGCAGAACTAAGTGATCGGGCTTAGGGAAAACGCTTTTGCATTCTTGTGTACAGCTAGAGTTGAAACTAACAAGGAATGTTTTGGAATTAAACAATTCAGTTTAAATATACATTAATAAAATCTTGCTTATTTTTTATTATATCCTTTTAGTTCTAAACCAGCCATTTTAGAGAACACCATTAATCTACTACTGACCCAAACAACTCTGACTCTTAAGCCAAAAAAAGATACATATTTTATTTGAAATTAAATTCTGGGTAATGATTTTTTTAAATTTCTTACAAACATTTGCACCAGATACCAAAGAATAAAAAACACCATGCTGTTTTTATCAGAAAATTTAATATATATAGCTGTTACTTAGTGTGCTTCAGTGATTTTTCAGACTGAAAGCACATTCTTTAATACCACCAAATAATACTCTTTGCTGCACATAACACCTACCAAAGTGGTTGAGTCCTAACACCTAGAGGATTACAAGCAGAGGCGGATAAAGATTTGCCACGATCAGAATGGGACTCAGCTGGTGCTCACACGGAAATCGTTTTATATTTAGGAATAATCCAATTTAAAATTTTACTTCTCTATGCTTTTATTCTGATGAGCCACAAATGCACATTGTGATTTAAACACTCCTTTATGACATTCTTTAACATCTAATCTAACATACTTGCTTGGACCTTTCTGACCCTGGCATTCCCAAAGTCCTCTCTCTCCCAAAAAACAAGTGAACAGGCATTGAAAACTATGAATCATCATTCTTTAAAGGACCTCACATTAGGAATTCATAGGTGCTGGTTTGTTTTTTTTGTTTTAATCTTGGTCAGAGTCTTCAAGTCTTAAGCTATGAATCATTGCATGAGAATCAAAGATCTAATATTTGTGTCTTAGTAGATATGCCATGACGTGTAGTAGGATGTTAAACCTTTTATCTGTCTGAAATGTAGGAGATCTGAGCCCTGCTTCTAGCCTGTCCTTTAAGAGACATTGGGAAGGAGATGGGTAAAAGGACCTAGGAGGGTTTTGAGTTCCTCGGCTGTATAAGATGGAATTATTTGAAGACTGCTAAGGTCCTCTTTCTCTTGACTTTCTTGAGCTGAAACAAATAAGACAATTGTTGGATCATCGGCGGCCCCTGGCAATACTGCCCCACCCCCGTCCTCTCCCACGTCTCCCACTTCGGATGCCACTGCCTCCCTGGAGACGAGCAATCCTCATGCCATCCCGCGTCGGCACGCACCCATTGAACAGCTTGCTCGCCAAGGCTCGTTCCGAGGATTTCCTGCTCTCAGCCAGAAGATGTCACCCTTTAAACGCCAGCTATCCCTGCGTATCAACGAGTTGCCTTCCACTATGCAGAGGAAGACTGATTTCCCCATAAAAAATGCAGGTAATGCAGCATCCACCTGACTCGCTGGTGCTCTAGCACTGAAGCATCATCATCACTCCCAGTGCAGACACTAATCCCACCAAACTAGCCACCCCCTCTCTCTGAGGCTGGTTGATGGTTATATGTATCTCGTGTCATTACCCACTGGGAGAAGACTAAGGTTCTTGGAGGGGGACGTGAATTGTTCATTTCTTTTCAACAAATAGGTAACAGAGCCACGATGGGAATTCGTAGACTGAGCTACAAGGTTTGTGGTTTGTCCTGATAGAAGTACACTACCTCTCAGCCAACCTGCTTCCAAACATCAGGGGTATCGAGTTTCTGTTCTTATTCTACCATTTGGGACCCAACAGAGAATTAATTTAAAAGGCTTTGGAAACACATCTATTCAAATAGCATTAGTGTCAGTGTATCAGAAGAAATGGATAAGTGCTCATTGTCCTCGTGGCTCGTTGGCTCCATACAGAGGAAACTCTTAACGGGTTTCCTGTTTAAGTCGAGAATCTATTGTTCATCAGAGACCGTGGGCTTGCTCACACATACCCGTTACCTTCCAGAACTGCCACACAGACCTTTGTGTGGCCCCTGTATAGCTGGGCCAGCCCTGGTAGCTCTGTCCTCCTCGTAAGACCCGGAGCTAAAGTGTCAGATCTGGTCAGTGCTTTCATTGGGCTCTTTTTTACTTTGCTCTGAGCCATGTCGAGCCAGTGCTCTAACAGGATATGAGGAAGCTGTGTTTCACTAAGACACTCCCACTGATGATATATGAAAGTCCAGAGAGTTAAGTTTTTTTGACATATGAAACTAGACCTACACAACAATTGGACTAGATGATTACCGAGGCTCTTTCCAGCTCTCAGCTCCTGTAAAAACGGAAACTCCAGATGCTTTCAGGACCTTGTCTTCAGTTCTCCCTCTGGAGCAGATGGGAAACAAAAACTATTCTTTCCATAGCTGAGCAAAACAAAGGTTCAGCACACATTATCAGCTTCCCCAGTGACATAGAAGTATCCCAGAGTCAATATTAAGAACAAAGGCTCTGGAGTCCTGGACCTCAGCTTGCCTTTTCATATTATCACTTGCTACTTTGGTGTTTTTTGTTTTTGTTTTTGTTTTTAGAGCGGGGGTGGGGTGTGGAGTGGGAGAAGGGACACAGAGAGAAGGAGAGAGAGAGACTCTTAAGCAGGCTCCACGCCCAGCACGGAGCCTGATGCAGGGCTCAGTCTCACACTCTCCCTGAGCTCATGACCTGAGCCGAAACCAAGAGTTGGACGTTTAACCGACTGAGCTACCCAGGCGCCCCTATACTTGCTACTTTGGAAAAAAAAAAAAGAGTGATGACATTGTCATGGCTTCTTACAGAGAAAAAGGTGGAGCTGCACTGGTGCCCCTGACTTTAACCCACTTCCTGACAGAGTTACTAAGTGGCTCCAGAACTGTACTCAGACCTTGGGAACTAGTTGGAAGACAAACAGGTTGCAGATGTCTTCCAGAAGGATCTAGCTTAACTGGCACAAAAAGAGAACACCAAGTTCTCAGTAGTTTCACACAGGAAGATACTCCTTAGTACATGAATTGTTGACATTTTGTATCAATTTTTTGAAGCTGCTTTTATAGCCCCACTTGACAGTTGAGACTTTTCCTTTCACAAATAAGGGATGTGTTATAAAATGCCACCTTGTGTCATACTGTTATATTTCAGGACTATTCAGTTTTTCTGTCTGGAGCCATTTTCTGTTTGCCTTGCAGTGCCAGAAGTCGAAGGAGAGGCAGAGAGTATCAGCTCTCTGTGCTCACAGATCACCAATGCCTTCAGCGCACCCGCCGAGGACCCCTTCTCATCTGCCCCAATGACCAAACCAGTGACGGTGATGGCACCACAGTCTCCTGCCTTTCAAGGTGTGTGCCCTCGTGGCCCATTCAGTTGTTCTCTTTGACGCTTGTACTTTTATGGCACAGCTCACTGACTCTAGGTTGGCATCCTGGGTTTCCCAAGAGCTGGTCAGACCCATTAATTTCCCTGTCTGATAATGTCTCAGAGTCATTAATTCCCCAATTCCACAATGTCTTTGTGCTCTGTCCCCACTCCCGTTTCCTGAAATGTCTGCATTCATCATTTTGCTTGTACCTGTCATCTTTGACCCCATTCTGTTAAGAGCTTTTGTAGTCCCCAACTCACTGCTTTATTTGCCACTTAACTGTTAAGAGTCAGAGTTTCCAGCTAGCTCACTAGAAGCAGCAGTCGTCAGAGTTGGTTCCAATGTATGCCTTTTTTTTTTTTTAAGATTTTATTTACCTGTCAGAGAGAGAGCGCACAGGCAGGGGGAGCAGCAGAGGCAGAGGGAGAAGCAGTTCTCCCTGCTGAGCAAGGAGCCCAACAAGGCCTCGATCCCAGGAACCCGGGATCATGACCCGAGCAGAAGGCAGATTTAACCTACTGAGCCACTCAGGCATCCCACGGTGTCTGCTTTCTTTAGCAGAGTGGTTCTCAACCCAGGGCAGTTTTGCTCCTTTCGGGGAAAATTTGGCATTCTTTGGTGACATTTTTGGGTGTTACAGCCTGGGAGGGGTGGTTGCTACTGTCATATGCATAGAGGCTCGGGATGCTACTAAACATCCTTCAGTGCACACGAGCTGCCCTCACAACAAGGAATTATCTGGCCCAAATTATCAATAGTGCCAAAGTTGAGAAGCCCTGGACTCACCTAGTCTCCACCCTGTCACGAGAGGCTCATAAAGAAAAAGGTATTTCTTTTGGCTCTTTAGTTCATTTCATCTTCTATAACAAGTGTCCTAAAATTTGCCTTTGTAAAGGCATTGAGGAGTTACTAAAAGTTGTTGTTTTCATAGATGCCGAGTTAATAGTTGGTATTGACTCTGAAGTCCACAAAGAGTCTATATATAATTTAAATTACAGACTTCTAGAATTTGAACTCTTATAATCACCATTTCTTCATTTCTTTTGAGAAAGAGCTCAGAAGTTTTGCTGTGGAGACAGTACCCCGTTCCCGTCAGGAAGCTACTACATGCTTTCCTTCAGAGTCTCTTTTTAATAACAGAAACAAAAAAAAAAATCCATTATAATCATGTGCACCAAACGGCTTTTCATTTCATCTAACAAATATTTGTAATACCTATAATAGGCACAATTTATTGAGCACTTACTAGCACAGTGTCTGCCATATCTTGGTAAGGACTCATGCATTTTCTCATCTCATTTAATCCCCACAACAACCCTTTGAGGTAAGCATTACAGTTAAGGAAGATGAGGCTCAGAGAGGTTGAGCAAATTGCCCAAATGCACAGCCAGGATTTAAACCCAGGTCTTTCTGAATATCGTACCTGTTCCACTCTGTTGCCTCTGTGCCTATTTACAATGGGATGTACAAAACTGAATAGAACATAGTCCTTTCCCTGCCTTTAAGGGGCTCCCAGTCTATGGGAGCTCTAGTTGTCAGTTGATAGTTCTTAGGACTACAAAACTTTTAGACAAGCCTGGGGTAAATAGTACCAATGCCATAAGCATGGTTGCCTAGTCTTAAAGAGGGAATGATTAAAGCAAAGGGCAGGGGAAGGTGCCTGCTTGTCTGCTCCAAACTAAATATGATAGAGAGCTGGACTAAGGAATAGAGACTGATGGATTAGATATCTGGAGTAAAGGAGCAAGGGTTAAGAGATTTTTTAATAAAAAGAGAGGAAAGAATAGTAGTGCTTTGAGATATGACCATTCCTGAGGGGAAAAAAATCTTCAAAGAAGAGAGATGAAATTAATTCTGTAGTGAATTACAAATTTATTAAGCAAATGAAAACATATTCCAAGTTTGATTTCTCATTTATAGTATGAGTATACCAGCTTTATGGGGTTTTTGAGAGAAATAGGATGATGCACGCTGAAGTACTATTAATGAAGTACTATTGATGATCATAAGGGATCATTATATTTAACCCATTGTTACTGTTGGCATAATTTGATCTTTTGGAAAAGTGGTAGGAGAAGGAAATGCTTTATCTGCATCATTATGCCAAAGGCTAAGCTATATCTAGAATAGATTTTCGCTGCTTGTAAGACAAAGCAGCTCTGTTCAGCTTAATTGGAAATTGTTTTTCTAGGTTTCATTCCCTCTCCCCCTATAGACAGATTTTCCTAGAATGGTCATTTGACTTTTTTTTTTCAGTATAGCTATTTTATTTATTTATTTATTTATTTATTTAAGGGTTTTTTTTTTATTATTTATTTATTTGACAGAGAGAGAGACAGTGAGAGCGGGAACACAAGCAGGGGGAGTGGGAGAGGGAGAGCAGGCTTCCTGCCGAGCAGGGAGCCCGATGCGGGGCTCGATCCCAGGACCCTGGGATCGTGACCTGAGCCGAAGGCAGACGCTTAACGACTGAGCCACCCAGGCGCCCCTTCAGTATAGCTATTTTAATGACCACCTCTAATTCCCTTTTGCCAGAAGGTTTGTGTATCCACTGCAAGATGGCATGGTTATCCCAACACCAACTTTTCTGTCTTAACCTGTTCCACCAGTATCGCACATTGGCCTGACTGACCCAGCTCCAGGGGGTCGCCCGTCCACCCTGCATGAATTGACTCCATCGATGTTGTCTGCTCCCATTGTAGCTAATGGCACTGACTCAGCCTTCCATGTGCTTGCTGCTAAGCCAGCCCATACTGCTCTAGCACCCGTAGCAATGCCTGTGCGTGAAACCAACCCCTGGGCCCATGCCCCTGATGCTGCTAACAAGGGAATTGCAGCCACACATTCGGGTAAGGTGGCCACGGATGGTGGTGAGGATTCTGGGATCAGATGAGTGACGCCGATTAAGAAATCGACCATTTACCTGAGTGGGAACCAGGGAGAAACCCTTTTAGGAACAGTATGTTTCCCTCCTGGAAATACACTACTATTAGGAAAGGATGGTGAAGGAGAGGAACTCGAGAGATTAGATTTGATAGTTCTTAGGACTACGAAACAGAATCACCCCCTAGAGCTTTCATAAAATACAGATTCCTGGGCCCTGAGTCGACCACTGAATTTGGAGATGTGTGGACATGCCTGCAGCAAGGGGGTACCCCGCTTCTTACGATGGCAGGCCTACAGAAAGGGCTGCCAAAAGTACTTCATATTTTTCTATACTTTCTAGTTTTCCTATAGTGAACACTCCTTAACTATAAAATCGGAACAAATTTTAAATAGTAATGAAGGCAGTTCACCTGAAGGATAACATGTGTCTTGAAGCGAGACAGGGACCACGAGGCACATTGCCAAGTTACTGGTTATTTTCTTTTTATTCTGTTAGAGCAGAAGGTGAATCACCTTGGGCCTTCAGAGCATGTGCAAGCTGGTTTCTGTAGCATGGAGGAGCCGCAGCAGTAGGAAAGGGTTTCTGATGCCAGCCAGCTGCCTTCGTTCTGTGTAGTCGAGCCCTGTCTAGACAGCTCCTCAGCATGGCTGAGACAGCAGCATGGTCTGACAGGTTCCCTTTGTCCTAAAACAACCCCTCCTTGGCTGGTAATAGAGGCTTTTCTCCCACCGGCCAGAACCACAAAGTATCCCATTGAGGGACTTGTTCCACATGTTAGGCTCATTCAAGTAACCAAGGTTATCAGGAAAGAAAAGAAACCCCTGAAGATTCTGATTCGTTTGTCTCTCTCCCTCTTGTTCATTCCCAGGGACCGAGTGGGGTCAATCTTCTGGTGCTGCATCTCCAGGTCTCTTGCAGGCTGGTCACAGACGCACTCCCTCTGAGGCTGACCGCTGGTTAGAAGAGGTGTCCAAGAGCGTCCGGGCGCAGCAGCCCCAGGCCTCAGCTGCTCCTTTGCAGCCAGTTCTCCAGCCTCCTCCACCCACTGCCATGACCCAGCCAGCGCCGCCTTTCCAAGGGAACGCATTCCTCACCTCTCAGCCTGTGCCAGTGGGCATGGTCCCACCCCTGCAGCCAGCCTTTGTCCCTGCCCAGTCCTATCCTGTGGCCAATGGGATGCCCTATCCAGCCCCTAATGTGCCTGTGGTGGGCATCACTCCCTCCCAGATGGTAGCCAACGTGTTTGGCACTGCAGGCCACCCTCAGGCCGCCCACCCCCATCAGTCTCCTAGCCTGGTCAAGCAGCAGACATTCCCACAGTATGAGACAAGCAGTGCTACTGCCAGTCCCTTCTTTAAGCCGCCTGCTCAGCACCTCAACGGTTCTGCAGCTTTCAATGGTGTAGACGATGGCAGGTTGGCCTCAGGAGATAAGCACACAGAGGTTCCTGCAGGCACCTGCCCAGTGGATCCTTTCGAAGCCCAGTGGGCTGCATTAGAAAGCAAGTCCAAGCAGCGTACTAACCCCTCTCCCACCAATCCTTTCTCCAGTGACTTACAGAAGACGTTTGAAATTGAACTTTAAGCAGTCTCTATGGCTTATGTATTTTGTCTGTACTTAGCAAGGGGGTCAAAGGAGCAAAGGGAACTTTGTGTTCCCAATCAGTATACTTTTCACCAATCCCAAAGGTCCCAAGGCATGTCCAGGCAGAGAGTGCTAGGAGAGGTGATTTTGAAAAAAACGGAAAAAACATTCCTAGAGAAGAGTTGTCTTGCAGTTAGGCTAAAGAAGTCAAGGAAATGTTTCCCTCTGTCCCCCTCCTACTCCCTCAGCCCCTTACAAATCTCTGGCAACAGAGAGGCAGAAATATCTGAACAGGAATCTGTATTCAAAGCACATTTACTGGAATTCAAAACACAATGGAAGCAAAACAGTCTCCCTTTGTTTTTCAGGCCATTCACCTGCCACCTCTCAGTACTGGCCTGTCTTAGAGATCAAGAACATGGTGGCCTGTGCTTGGGCTGGGGACGGGAGGCAGGCTAGGTCGCCAGAATTCCCAGGAGAGCACATCAGCAGCTGCCCAACAGAGCTATATTTTAGGGGCAAAGTTGAGCTTCCACTTTGAGTAAGAATAAATATTATAAATATATATATCAAAAAAAAAAAGCCAAAATCTTTATTTTTATGCATTTAGAATATTTTAAATAGTTCTCAATATTAAAAAGTTGTATGAGTTGTAAGTAATCTTGCCAAAGGTAAAAGGGTTAGCTGTAAGAAATTGTACATAAGATTGATTTATCAGTGATGCCTATTGAAGCGGAGAGAGGAAAGGTTGGGAGTTGCAAACGGGGTCCCTAGCTTATCTGGTATCATTCATTCTAAGTAGCACATTGCAGCAACAATCATGCAAATGACCAATACAGTCACTAGGTTGTAGTTTTAAAGAAAATGAAAGAGCAGTATTGTCCTGGTTTTAAACCTGTGATGAAATTCTAATGTCATTATTTTAATGGAATCAATCTAAATACTCTATAGAGAATATGCATCTTCTTTCATATACTGCTGCAGTTTATGTTAATCCTCTACTTAACACTAAGGTGACAATGACAGAATCACATCCCTCGATGGGGAGCGCAGGCTACTGTGTTGGTTTGTCATGTGGGTCTTGTTTTGTCCTTTAGGTTTTGTCCCCACGAGTTTTGTGGGGATGGAGATTCTAGTTTTATTAGCTGTGTGTGCGTCTGTCCCCCCACGTGGTGAGCAGAACGTCCCGTTGCCAGTGGCGGCCTCTTGACCTCTGGTAACAATGTGAGGTCCCATCTCATTCTTACTTTTGAACGTTGGCCTTACAATCAAATGTAAGTTATATATATTTGTACTGATGAGAATTTATAATCTGCTTTAACAAAAATAAATGTTCGTGGTAGAAGCTTTTGCCCATGAAGGGCTGGTCTTTCCCCTTTTCTTTATTAGCAAATGTGTTTACTTTTAGTTCTTTTTGGTCTGTTCTTGCTCCGTTCTGCTGCTGCTACAGAACTCTGGTTTGGTGGCTAGAAAATCTTTTATTGGGACTATATATTCTTTATTCTTTATTATTGAAGTATAATTGGCATACAGTGTTACCGTTTCAGGTGTACAACATATTGATCCAACAATTCTATACATTACGCAGTGCTCATCACAATAAGTGTGGTCACCATTTGTCACCATTCATGCTATTACAATATTATTGACTATACTCCCTGTGTTAGACTTTTCATCTCTGTGACTTATAACTGGAAGATTGTACCTCTGGATTAATCCCCTTCATCTGTTTTGCCCACCAGGACTAGTATATGCTTAAAATTCACTTTTGTGTTTCTGCTCTAGGCTTTGGTTGACCCTAAGCATATCTCTGATGTCAGATTCTTGCTGCTCAAAGTGTGGTCTGGAACAGGAGCATGGACTGCACCTAGGAGCTGAGTAGAGGTACAGAATCTCAGCACCACCCTCCCCACCCCCAGCCTAGTCATCAGAAAATACACTGGAACCAAGGTTCACCTTCTGAAGGGTCCTGCTGGAGCGGTGAGTCTCAGCCTTGGATACATACTAGAATCACCTGGGGAACTTTTAAAATCCTCACACTGGCCCATACTCCAGGCCAATTAAATCAAAGTGGTTGGGGGAGGACCCCAGGTTGTTTTGGTTTTTGTTTTTCAAGTTCCCAGTATGGAAGAGGGTTGAGAACCACTGGTCTAGCTTGAGTGTTACTCTTTCCTGTAACCTTAGCCCACTACTCTGTGATAGTTCTGAGAAGAGCTAGCTAACCTCAAACTTACCTTCTGAATGATGTTGCCAATTGGCAAGAACTGGGGAGTCCAAGAAAGTAGCCCTTAGTTTCCAATTTTTATAGCAAACCCAGCCATGGTAAATGAAAGGGGATCCGCCTCTGTATTTTTTTAAGTGGAAAGAAAAAAATACCTGTGCCTCTCTAACCCATGTTTCCTTTGTTGAATGAGAGAGAGACCAAGAAGTATCACTCAGCCATGATGCAGTTTGTCTCTTTTCCAACCAGTGTGTTGGTAGTAAAAGCTTTCCCTGTAATGCCTTTCTTATGTCCCAGAAAAACCTGTCACTTAGATCCAGCCAGTCCTCTGAGGATGTGTAGGTTAAAGTGGAAAGGGACCTGGAAGCTCATTGAATCCAGGCCTCTTGTTTAGCACCGAGGAACTGGAGGTTCTGAGAGATGGAGAAGGACTTCTTCCTACTCAAACCATTTCTGAAACTACTTCGTTGTTAATGTATTGCCTTCCCCTCCTTTGTTCCCCTATCCTGCTGATGCCTGTTTTTAATAGTCTGGCTCTGCCTCACAGATTCCTGTTTGGGGAGGAGAGGCTCCCAGCTAGTCACTGTACATAGCAGGTCAGCTTGCTGCAGGGGTGAGGTGATCCTCACAACCAGGCTCTGCATGTTGGCCTTAGGAGGAGGGCTTCGGGCACTAGCTTCCTGAGGAAAGGAGTGCCCCCACTTCTGGCATGCTCCCATCATCACCTGCTGCTCCTTCGTCCCACATCGTGTACTGAGCCTTACGTGCCATATTCCACTTTGGCAAGAGCTTTCACAAACATGCCATTAACTGGACGTACAGGTGGCAGTTGAAGCTGATTGCCACACTGCCTGGAAGGGTGAGGTTGACTAGAGCAGTGAACCACTGTTTGACCCTAGAGGAGATGGGAGTTCTAGCAGGGAAAAATGGCCTGACACGGCAGGAATGAGTGTGCCCCGTGTGAGATACATGTTAACTCTAAAACCATTACACACCTCCCCACTCAGCTTTAAATGAATCGAGAACCCTGGTAGCTTGCTTTAGAACCCAGTGAATTGATCCTGTATGACAAATGATAGAGGGAAGCCGTAAAGGGTGTCCCTATCCAAGCCAACTCCTCGTGCCAGCGAGCTGTGGTGCCAGCGGCTGCCGAGGCACAGCGGGGCGTGGCAGGCTGAGAAGCCCATTCTCTGAAGGGTAGAGCCCTTTGGCAGCCAGAGGCCACGGACCAGGAGTTGTTTCAGGACTGGGGCTGCGGCTGGCCTTCATCCCTGCCGCCGGACAGGCTGAGCGTGAGGCTGGACGCGGGAACAGCTAGCACAGCAGAAGCTGGAGTAATACTCGTTGCCACAGAGCTGGGCCTGCAGGATCAGATTACAGTTGGCCAGCTCAGGCTGATCCACACACTCCCTGCTCAGGGCCCTGGGCTGGGCGGGCAGTGCTGCAGAGACAACCAGGGAGAGACAAAGGGGTAAGGAAGCTGTGGAGGCTGAAAAGTCTCACCTCCCCTTTCTTTGCCTTAAGAGGAAAGCAGCAGAACTGCCAGATTCCCAAAAAGCACAGTTGCTCTGTACTCTTTATCACCTGTGTGCATCTCCTACCCCCGCCACCGCCGTGGGCCTCATCTGGGCACGCAGTGGTCCTGCAGCCTCAGCCCAGGGCAGACTCTCAGGCGCTGACTACACATGATGACACCTCTTGAAGTTAACTCCCTACCCTTGCTGTTGTGACCTGAAGAGCTGAGTGACAATTGCCTTAGCCCCTGGATTGGGAAGGGAAGGTGGGGGGATCAGCCCTAAGTAAAATTTTGAGTTGGGCCAGAGCTGTCTTGTCTCTTTCTCTCACTGCTGATTTCCTCTAACCTCAAAAGGTTTGTGCCTTCAGTAGCCCCAGTTTATCTCAGTCATTTCATTCCCCATCTTCCCAATTTTCCCACTGCCCCCCGAGAAAGCAAGTGAGCATTAGGCAAGGCGATTAGAAGAGCCTAATGAGCCATGGCTCAAACACTGCACTAAACACAAAATGCTCACTGCTGCCCCCTCTGAAAGTGCTAGGAGCTTCGGGAACTTAAAAATCCCTGTGAGAGGGCGGCCGGGCTGGCTGGGTCTGTAGAGCAAATGACTCTTGATCTCAGGGTCGGCAGTTCAAGCCCCACAGTGGGCATAGAGATTTAAAAAAAAAAAAAAAAAAATCCCTGTGGGTGTTTTATTCCGCTGCTTCATCTTAGGACTGAAGTGGCCTCATCTAGTTAACGTCCCTTTTCTTTCTGGAAGGGGCTCTTGTGACTCAGCTGGACTTAGGCCTGAATAGCACCGTCCCTAAAGTCAGACCTCCTGGGGCTTATCTTCATCTCCTCTCCCCCTGCTTCCTCCCAAAATACAACAAAAAAGATTATACCTCAGTAGTCTTAGTACCTGATTCTGTGCAGGTTAGGAATATCGGTACAATGAGAGTACTAACTACAGCTGATCCTTAAACAACATGGATTTGAATTGCGCGGGTCCGCGTGATTTTTTTTTCACTAAATACTGTACAGTACTGTAAATGTATTTTCCTTATGATTTTAACATTTTGTCTAGCTAGCTTTGCTGTAAGAATACAGTATATAATACACATACAATATGTGCTGTGTTAGGAGGGCTTTGGTCAACAGGCTATTAGTAAAGTTTTTGGGAGTCAACGTTCTATGTGGATTTTTTTTTTTTTTAAGATTTTATTTATTTATTTGACAGAGACACAGCAAGAGAGGGAACTTCCACAAGCAGGGGGAGTAGGAGAGGGAGAAGCAGGCTTCCCGCGGAGCAGAGAGCCCGATGCGGGGCTCGATCCCAGGACCTTGGGATCCTGACCTGAGCCGAAGGCAGACGCCTAACGACTGAGCCACCCAGGCGCCCCTCTATGTGGATTTTTGACTGCACTGAGGGTCGGTACCCCTAATCGCTGGTGTTGGTCAGGGGCCAACCGTACCTACATTTATATAAATATCAAGCCATTTAGGCATATTGTTTTAAAAACCAGTAACTTTGATAACGACTTTCTCTCAGCAGTTGCAGCCCAGGGCCTGTCAAGGGCCCAGAAGTTAGGTGCCCAGCATGGTGGTTAAGCATGCCAGCTCTGGAGCCAGACTGCCTGAGCTCAGTCCTGGCTCTCCTGCTTCCCAGCTGGGTGATTCGGGGCCAGTTACTTCAGCTCTCTGCCTGTGCTTCCTCACCTGAAATGGAGAAGGGAACAGCACCTGGGGCATACAGTGACTGTGGCTAAAATTTGAGTGCTTGACCATGTTTTGCTTCATAGCCTCATTCCCTCTCATTCAAAAACAGTGCACGAGCCCCTGTGTTTTATCCCTACAGTATTTTCCGTTTCTCACCCCCGTCTTTTAGGCCAGAAGGTTGGAAGCATGTCCCTTACAGTAGAGCGTGACTAGCTTAAAGCCTGCTGCCTGGACGCTGACACTAATTCCAGGATGCCACCAGACCACGAATAGGGCAAAGCGAGACCCTACAAAAAGCCTAATCAACAGAATGAATCAAAGAGAGGGGCGAGAGAGCTTCTAGTCAAGAAAGGTGCCCACAAAGTAGGAGATGAGCAACACTCATCCAGCAGAGGGCAGGAGAAAGGCGTCCTGTCCAGGAAGCAGGTCACATCAGACATTTCAGTGTGCGACCACACAAGCAAGAGCCCCAGCAGACTTTGCCATCAGACAAGTTTCTAATTTGGCTTCCCATGTAGACGTGTCTACAAGGAGTCACAAACATGAACACGTGGTCCCCTGACAGCTCTCTTTCTCACCCAGATCTGCATTCTGGTTTGTAAATCTGATTGTAGACAAGAGATCAATCTGCTGGGCAGGGCGGGGGGCGGGAAATGGCCCCGGTGGTCTAGCACTTTTGTGAAGGTAATGCCCTCCCACAGTCACCAAGCCTAAGCACCTAGTGATGCTGAGCACTGAGCTGGGCCCTGGGGACTCGAGTCTCAGTGGCTATCCTAAGGAGCTCAGAAACCGGAAGCCTACATGTCAGTCTGATTCACTGAGCGAGATTTCTACCACGGACCTTCAACCTCTAGTGCTGGTCTCTTCCCACCCACAGCATAGTAGGCCCAGTACCCCTAGTATAGCAGCTCTCCTGGTGCGTGCTGTGGCCCTGACGCCATGAGCGTCCAGGCAGACAGCACAGGAGAGGTCCTGAAAAGTCTGCTTCGGGCCTCATGAGAAGCGGCAGCTTGGCCCAGGGCACTGCCTACCGGTCAGTCAGTGAGCCTGGACCAAGGACACATGGAAGGGCAGGCTGGGCGGAGGGCAGGCCTCCCACTCCCCCTTGCCCTCTGGCCTCTTTGACTATAGAGCTCATGTCTATCTTACCAATTCTGAGATGCGCTGATTTTCCCATTTTAACACCTCTCAAATTGGACTGCGTCTGAATTGATGGTGTCTTAGCACTGTGTCATTTAACAGTTCTAGTGGCATTTTTTTCTTAGTGGTATGAAACTAATTGTTTTACAACATGGTCCTTAGGTTCACTGATCTATAACTCTGGGCAAGAGCTGAAGAATATAAACTACTGAATAACGCAAGTAAAATTCTGCCCAGTTACAGCTACAATCGTTTAAGGAAAAGAATATTAAATATGAGAACTAGGGTCTAATCCCACCTTAGCCCCTCATTTGCTGTGTGACTTGTGAAAACATCACATGAGGTATCTGGATGTCTGTCTCACCTGTAAGATGGCGATACTAACCCCTGCCCTTCCCTTTCTGGATTATATGGTCAAAGGCACTTTCCAATCATAGGTTCGTTTTTTTGCCACCTTGATTAGAATGGACACATTCAACAGTCTATCTGCCGTAAGGATTATAATGAAATTCCAGTCGATCCTATTTCTCAAAATCAGTAAGTCTAAATGATATTTGACATCGCCTATTAAGCTGTTACCAGATGCCCATCATCTGCACCATCTCCTTCACCCTCAGCACAGCTCCTGCAGGTGGAGTCGCCCACTGCACATGGGAGGGGAGAGGCTCGGGGAGGTTGAGCCCCTTGCCACAGGTGACACTACCAGGAACTGGCAGAGTGAGCCAGGACTCAGGCCAGGGTCCCCCCCAGCCTGCAGAGCCTGCCCTCCCCCGCCCTGTGCAGCACAAAGCCAGCTCTGGGGCACAAGCAAGGCCCCGGGCTAGGCCTCTTACCTGGCGGGACCAGCTTCACCTCGGTGCTGCGGCTCACTGCCTGGCTTCCACGGTAGGCACTGCACGTGTAGGAGCCCTCGTCTCTGGCCTGCAGGTTGTGGATCAGCAGCGTGCCATCTGGGGACTGGTGGACGCGATGCCCGTCGGCCCGCACCGGCAGCCCGTTCCTGGAGGGGAGAGGACGCTGGGAGAGCCAGCCAGGCCCAGGAGACAAAGGGAGGAGGTAATCATTGTGGACAGATGACCCTCACCTCGAGAAAGAGATGGGGCACGGTGCCAAAAAGAACATTCTCAGAGCAAAATAACTCAAAAGTGAGGTGAACTCACCCCAACTGAGCACACTGATCTAAGTTACTGTGAATTTGCCTTTTAATCCACAAAGGAACCCTGCTCTCGCTTTTTATCAGCAAAGGTCTCTCAAGCAGCCATGAGGTGCCAGGCCCTGTGCTAGGTGAGGGACATAAGCGCTCCCTGCCTTGAGGGCACAGGGCTGGGGTACAGGTGCTTAGGGGCGCCTTCCCTGAGGATGACCTAGCTGAGCCCTGACCTGAGGATGAGGAGGAACATTTGGCTGGTGAAAGGGAGAACGAGAGGGCTCGCGAGCTCGAGGGGAGGCCATGGTCAGAGCAGGGAGGGAAGTGGACACAGCCTAGACAGAGTTTGGCCTGGACCCTGGGGGAAATGGAGGGGTGTGAGCTAAGCGGGACTGACCAAGTATCCGCCCATGGAAAGGCTCGCCGACTGGGGCGAGGACAAGCCTGAAATCGGAGAGCAGGAAAGTGGCTACGGCAGAAGTGCACACATGGGAGAGGGCCAGATGGGCAAGGTTGGGCGAAGACATGAAGGATGACGGAGATTCCGGGCTTGGGTTACTGGGTAAGAGTGGTGCCCCTCCACCATGGGAAGATCCAGAGTGGGGAAGAGGGCTGAATGGTGAATGCTCTTTTCCACCATTTTGCATTTTGGGTGCCCGCAAGATACCGGACAGCATTGGATTTGAGGTCTAGACCCAGATAGTGTATCAGCACTGGATGATCCTGGAAACCACATGCCAACAAGGTTACCCAAGGTGAAGTTAGACAGACCAAGGACCAAGCACAGCCCCTGAGGTGCACCAGCCTCTGAGGGATTGGTGTGAGAAGATGAGCCAGCCAGGAAAACAAGCAGCGGCCAGAAGAAGAAGGCCAGACCACAGTAGTTTCCTGGAGCCAAGGGGAGGGAGCATGTTGGGAGGTGCAAGCGGTCAGTGGAAGGACACTGCAGGTCGTGTGGGGACTGAGATTTGTCCAGAGGATTTCGGAACAGGGCAGTATCCCTGGAGTGGGGGTGGATGTGAGCCGCTGTGAGGGGGAGACTCCAGATGAGGCCAGGGTCTGCAGGGACATGCAGGGTCAGAGGAGGGTATCTTTTGTTGTGCTTGAAGAGGGGAGTCCTGAGCGTATTTGCTGCTAGGAAGATCAAGGAGAAGCAAAAGTGGAAGATACAGGCCTGCTAGAATCATCAGAGGCCGGACCTGATCAGGGCAGGTCTGCACGGAGCACAGCTGCCCAGAAGCCTACAGAAGCTCCCAGCCACCGTCCCTACTCCTGCATGCAGGCCCCTTCCCATTCTGACATCATCTCTTCTACTCACCTTTGAGGCTCGGTCAAGAACAGCCTTCCCCTCCTCAGCCTTCAAGGCCCAGCCAAGGTCACATGTGTGGCCAGTCCTTCCTGGATTCCCCCAGAGAGGAGGCAGCCTCCGTCCTCCAGGCACACACAGCACTGAGGGCAAACCTCTGGACCCCAGGGGACACGGGGCCATCTCCTGCCTGGGAGTATCTGGGGGGGCTCAGATTACACCAAGATCCCCAGAGCCTAGGCTCTTCCTGACACATGGCAAGGAGGAAGGGGGCAAAAAAGTGTTTGCTGAAAGAATGAATAAAAGAGCAACTGATCTGGGGTAAAAGACCACTGAAGTCCCCAAAGTTGAGTATAGCCCAGTGGTTCTCAACCCCTGAGGGAGATTGTGTCACCCAGGGGATATTAAGAGACGTCTCTAGACATTGTCAATTGTCATGACTTGGGAGGGAGATCCTACCGGCATCTACTGGGTAGATGGCCTGGATGCTCTAAACATCCTCCAATACACAGGACAGCCCCGGCAATCAAGAATTATCCAGTCCGGGGCGCCTGGGTGGCTCAGTCGGTTAAGCATCTGCCTTTAGCTCAGGTTGTGATCCCAGGATGCTGGGATCAAGTCCCACATCGGGCTCCCTGCTCCGCGGGGAGCCTGCTTCTCCCTCTCCCTCTGTCCCCGACCCCCACACTTGTATTCTCGTGCTCTCTCTCAAAATCTTAAAAAAGACAATTACCCAGTTTGAAATACCGATAGTGCCAAGGTTGAGAAACCCTGGTGTAGCCCGGCCAACAGAGAGCAGCATTACGTTGGGAAGAGGGTGCTGCAGCCCCCTCCCCTGGAGGCAGGAGTTGAAGAATGAATGGTGCAAACGGCAATATCCTTGCAGAAAGGTGGACCAACTCTCTGGTCTGCACAGCCTCAGGTGTGAGGGTCTGAGGGCCAGGCCTGTGTGGAACAGAGCCTTACCTGGACCATCTGATGTTTACGCTTTCTCCTGTCACCACACACAGCAGCCTGGCCGTGTCCCCCTCTGGCACCATCATAGTAGAGGGCAGCTCTGTGATGGTCAGCTCCCCTAGGCCCGAGGAGGAAGCACTGTCGGCCACTCGCCAATCCTGCCCCACCCGTGCCGCCTGACCTCAGAGGTCACCTTCCGCTCAGGACTGCCACCTTACCCAGAACTCTGAGCTGGACCCATCTCTGGTCTCGGTCCTGCCCGTTGAAAGCAACACAGGCATAGAAGCCACCATCTTGCGCAACCACATGGCTGATGACCAGAGAGCCATCGGGCTGCAGCTGGTGTCTAGGAACAAAGCACAGTCAGGTGGCTCCATCCCCAGGGGGCTGGCAGGGTCTTCCTTTCCCTGGGGGGGGGGGGGGGGAGGGGGCTGAGTGGCCCCTACTGTTCCGTGGGGTCTGAGCAAAGGGCCATCCGACCCTAGGCCCTGAGGTCCTCCAGCTGCTGGTACGCTCATTTACTGGGAGGGGCGTCCTTTAAGCCTGGCAATAAAAAACTCATTTCAAGCTTCCAGATACAAAATAATTCTGGTGTGGGTTTCTAGTTCTTGCTATACTCATTCAGCAGGCTCAGATCTCGGTTCTGCCACTTAGGAGCTGTGTGGTGTTAAGCTCCTGTGCGTAAAATGGGGATAAGATAGCACCTACCTCAATGTGGCCCTTGTGCAGAGTATACAATGGGGAACAAACCTCATACTCATAACGAGTACAGTAAATGTTAGCTGTTATGATTACAGCCAGAAATGGGTCTGCTCTGTTTTGTCCCTCAGCCATCACCCCTCCTTAGCAGGCCCATTACTTCTGTCCACTAACCACACTGGAAAGACCCAGAGACCCAAATGTTGGTTTGCCCCAGGAACCCTACTACCCAGCTGCAGCATCTCTCGAGAGCCCATGGAATCCTGCTCAGGACTGACCAGGGGTGGCGCCTGGCAGCTCCCTCCCCCGAGGCCTGCACAGGGTCAGGGGCTGGAGGTGGGACACGAGGGCTAAGAGAGGAGCTGAACACAAACCTGGGGGAAGAGAGGGACTGCCCATCTCTCTGCCACTCAATGGCTGGGGGTGGGAAGCCCTCAGCACGGCAGGTCAACTGGATCTGCTGGCCTGGTCGGGCGTCCACCACCCTAGGCTGGTTCCTGTCCAGAAGCAGCCTGCAGAACGAGCAACCCCACAGCCATGAGGGGGGCCCTCTGCACAAGCCCACGGCCCCCTTTGCTCCTGCCAGATTCAGCTTCCTAACAGAGCTGCTTTGTTCTGGGCAGGACACCACCACCAATCACCTGGGGCTTTCTCGCCTTCCCCACCGCCTGCCCCCTCTGCCCCAGAATCTTGACTGTCACCATCCTTGCCCTGCACCTCTGCTGCTCGTTCCTTGACTTGTGCCCTCCAGGCCTCTGCAACGCCTTTATAAACTTCCTTCTAGGCCTTCGCAGGCCCTCTAGCTCCCGGTGTGTTTCCCTTCCCTCAGCCCCTGTGTCCTGGGCCTTGGGCCATCCTCAACTGTTTGGGGAGGGGTGGAGGGCTCCCCTTCCTCCTAAGAGGCTGTGCTCAGGGAGCCACGTTTCTCTTGTCCTCACCAGGCAGAGCGCTCCCCTCCTTTCACCACTGAGACCCCCATCACCCCCAGCCCTCCAGTGGGGTAGGCTGAGAGCAGGACGGCACTGCTGCGCTGTTACCTGGTCGTGGGCCGAGGTTGCAAGGAGGAGACGGCCCCTAGGCCTCCTCTGTCCCCCACTAGGCTGGAGTCCCGAGGACTGTGGCCCTGGGCTGGGTCCCTGGTCTGAGGGAAGTGTCTTGGCTCAGCCTCAGGTAGCACGGCCACATCAGCCCCTGTCATGAGGCCAGGAGAAGGGGTGAGCTGTGGGGAGAATGTGGTGGAAGGAGGGGGGGCCATGAAGCTGGCCAGGGACATGTGGAAAAATGAGCGCCACAAGGGGCAGGACCTCCACCTCGGCCCTTGCGGAGCGCGGTCCCTGCCAGCAGGAAGGGCCCCTCCAGTGTGGGAGCACCTGGCTCAGGCCTCCCAGCCAGGCCCTCCTGCGTGGGGCCCATGGGAATCCCCGGGGCAGAGACCTGTGACACGAAGCTGGATCTTCTGAGAGTCACGGCCTGGCCGGCCGCTGCCACAGCTGTAGATGCCAGCATCCTCTGCCCGCAGGGGACTGATGACCAGGGAGCCATCAGGCTGCGGCTTGTGCCTGAGTGAAGAGGTGGGGGCCTGAGCTCTGGGCTCCTGAGGACAATAAGCCTAGCCCACCTCTGGCCCCAGCGCTCTTACCAGAGGGGACGGTAGCCCTGCGTGCACACTCCCATCCCGGGGACATCAGGGGGCTGCCACACACATACCTGTCGGAGGAGATGGGCTGCCCGTCTTTCTGCCACCTGGTATGGGGCTCCAGGGGCATGTCATCTTGGCAGAGGAGCTGCACCAACTGCCCCCGGGGGGCCTGCACCAGGGACGGCTCCGGGCCTGCCAAGCTGACCCTGGGGGGCGGGGGGCGGCCGTGAGGACCCGCACTGCTGGCTTGAGTGCCAGGACTGGAGACTCCCCTTTATCAGTGATAGCTGGGCGCTATCCTGTCTCCAGCACTTTCGGGCGCCCATCCTGTCTCCAGCACTTTCGGGGGCAGCTCCAGAAGCCCATGGCCTCGGGAATCCCCCCTCTCCATCCTCCCCACACGCCCTTGGACGTTGCTACCTCAGCCTGGTCCTGTGACAGCGGCAGAGTGGGCGCAAAGCCCAGAGCATGGAGGGGCCGGGACAGATTGCTCACGTCAGGTCCATGTGGGGAACTAAACCACATGCTCGACCTCTTCGGAATTTAAAGTTTTATTTTGTTTTTACTCTCCCCAAAGCTCTCATGACTCAGTCCCAAGACTGTGGAACCCACACTAAATCTAAGAATATCACCATTTTATAGGTCAAGAAACTGAGGCTTGGAGAAGCTGGAGGACTTGCCGAAGGTCACGAAGCCTGCAAGCTTTCCCGACTAGACAGGCCCGGGGTGTACGGGCAAGGTCTGACCAAGATGGCAGCACCATCTACTGGCAAGTCTCCTGTCTCCAACGCCAGCTTCCCCATGTGTACAACGACAGGACCGGGGCCCTCCAGGCAGGGCTGTTTGGAGGACTTGAGGTTAGGGATGGGGAGGGAGGGCCTGCAGACCTCAGGGTTTTAGCTCCCACAGGTGCAGCCCCTGACCCCGGGGAAGGTAGGCCTCACCTGTAGGGGGAGCTGTGGGAGGATGGCACTGGTCGCCCCGCATCTCCGCCCAGGCCAGGGGTTGGGGGCCCGAGCTCCCCGCCCCAGTGCCGTTCTCCAAACGCCCCAGGCTCTTGGTCTCGCCACCCGAGGCCACCGGAAGGCAAGAGCTTCGTCGGGACTGTGGCCCCCGTCCCGGGCCAGCTGGCCTCCAGCTGGCCTCCAGGACGGCTGCCGCCACCATCTGCGCGGGTGCTCGGGCCAGAGGCCCCCGGCTCGGGCCAGCGGGGCCCAGCGTGCGGCCCCCGGCAGCTGCTTATGCACTCCTCCTCAGAGGCAAAGTTATTGCCGTTGCCGTGGCACCCGCCGTACCAGAAGCGGTTACACTGGCCCACAGAGGGGACGAAGTACCAGCGGGCGGCCCAGTCCGCGCAGGAGCCGTGGGCGCTGGGCAGCAGGCACCGCACAGGGTAGGCTGAGGGGACAGGGAGGGTGCGTGTCATCAAGCCGAGGATGCTGCCCAGCAGAGCCCTGCCAGCAAGGGCCCACCATCCCCTCCGCCTCGGACTTAGGAGCCAGGCCCTTCCCAGCTCACAGAGCACGTCTACACCCCTGCCCAGACCCCTGACCTGGCCCTGGGGGCAGAGTCTGCTCACTGCCCAGACCTACCTGGGCTCCACCCACAGAACTAGAGCCCTCCAGAAGGTCAGGGCCATGAGCAACCTGGACTGGCCCCCTCATGCCCCTCCCCTCCCCATGCCTGACTCAGGTCCCGAGAGTGCACGCACAGAGCAGCCCAAGGGCCTGGCTCATAAGAACCCAGCCCTCGGCTCCCAGGGACATCTGTGAAGGTGCCCTGTGAGGGGCCCGCCTTTGTTCCCAGGACCCCTCACCAGCCTCGAGCCCACCTGCAGCTGCCCCCAGCCTGCCTGTTCCAACCGCCCACCTCCCCAGCACGGCCCACTCTACCTCTCTGCGTGAACGTGGCTGGCCCCTGCTTAAAGCCCCCCCAGGGACCCAGCCTCCTGCAGACCCTGACCATCAGCCCATCTGGCTTTTGAGGTCCCCCTGACAGTCCCTGGCAGTGCCGCCCACACATGCTCCTGCCTCGGCGACCTCCCTCCAGGACTCATCCCAGGCACGGTGGGGACACCCCTGTCCATCCTGGCACTGACCACCATTCCATCTCTGCCTCTAGAGGGCGCTGAGCCCCAAGGGGGTGGGGGCCAGGACAAGCCCTCCTTCTCTGTGGGGGCCCTGCCCCAGCTCTCCTCGCTTCCCACAAGCAGGCAGGTGGTCTCAAGGGCAAACTGTTGGGAACGAGAACAACATGGCCCCGTCCTCGGACCTGGCGCCTAGTAAGTGAGCAGTAAACATCTGAAGAAATGAATGAATCACTGAGCTAGTAGGAAGCTCCAGGTGGGGGCCCGGTGGAGGTGTGGGGGGCAAAGGGGGGCCGGAGCCCACTCACCAGGAAGCGTGCCGGGACACCCACTCACCGTAGCTGGGCTGGCCCCCGCAGCCTTCCCCCAGAGGGCCGGCCGCAGTGGCCACCCCGTCATAGCAGCAGCCGAACTGGGAGCCCCGGCACTCAGGGGGCTCGTTCTGCTGAGCCTGGGGCCGGTGGGCCGTGGGGGCCTGGGGAGGGAGGACAGGAAGAGGGAGGGGCAGGGGCAGGAGCCCATGATGCAGAACCCCAGCCCCAGGGGAGCTCAGAGGCCCGGGGAAGGTCAGACGAAGCCCCCTGCACACGCCACCCCATCTCCAGCCCAGGCCCGTCTCAGAAGCCCTGTGGGCCAGCAGCCAGCAGGGACCTCCTTTCTCCCAAGCCCAAGTTACAGACAGCCCGGGTCACAGTGGCGCTGAGCAGGCTTGGGGGCTGGATTCCCGCCCCCCCACACCGCCCCCCTGTGTGACCGACACTTACTGAGAAAGCCACTGCTCTTGACCCCGGCCTTCGCGCCACGTTGTCACTGCTGTAAGACCCTGCGCAGCCAGCGTGCCAGGGCCCCTCAGCCACAGACACCCCGTCGGGGCAGCACCCGTACCTAGACAAGCACCACACGGCTGTCTGCTCACCAACCAGCCCTGATGGCCGACCCTCCCAGCATCCTGGGACCCAGGCTCTGAGGCTGCCCGCGCTGGGGGCCGAGCAGCTGAGGACTCGAGCGGGAGACAGCGTGGCCCCGCACCCGGGCCCGACCATTCCACGTGCCGAGGCTCTGCCGCGTCCCCCAACCACCCAGCGGCTGCCACGGAGGCAGCAGAAACCCAGCAGGCAGAGCCGCTGCCCTGATACCTGACGGATCCTCAACTCCCCTCCCCCACCCCGAAACCAAGGTGGAGACTCACTGAGCCTGCCCACATAGCGGGTCCCCAGGGAGGCTTTACAAAATCACAGCTCCATCAGCCAGGAGTGGGGAAGGAAGGTGAAGGAGGAACGCATCAGAGCACCTTCCACGCCCCAGGCACCATGGGACTGTTCCGATCTCACAGCAACCCCAGCCGGGGGCTGTCACGGTTCCCACACCTCGGCAGAGGAAGCCAAGATCAGAGAAGTTAAGGAACTTGCCCCCATCACCCAGCACGTGGCTGGTAAGTGACTGAGCTGGGAATCCTGCCCGGCTCCCAGGCTGCTGGCCCCAAAGTCTGCGCTCTGAGCATCCCAGCCCCAGAGAGACTGGCAGACTGCTTTGGATCTGAACGCTAGAATGATATCCCATGTGCCTTCTTCCCAGAGCCTCAGGCTACACCTCCACAGGCCGACTTCCGTAGCAATAGCGGAGATTTTTACCCCCACTCTGCACATTAGGGAGATCAGCGACAGGAAGCAGAGTCCGCAAGACGGCACAAGCAGGGAAGCCAGAAGACACCTCCAGAGTCCCAGTCCTGAGCTCTGCAAAACCCCCTCCACCCTCCCTGCGCAGGCGTGGCCCTGCCCATCAGATACCACCCCCACCAACACACACACTTTTCCCTCTCTGACCTGGTAAAGAGGAAGAGGCTCCTACCTGCTCTGCTGACATGAGGTCCCAGGGCAGCCCTGCCGCTGCGGCCCCAGAGACGTGGTGTGGCCATCAGGGCAGCACCCATAGGGGCTCTGTCTGCAGTCTTGGGGTGCCAAGCCAGACCGCAGGGGCTGCCGGTGTGGGGACTGTGGCAGAGAGGGGGCTAGGCCTGGCAGGTGAAGGCCCTGGGCTCTTCTGGGATTACCCTGGACTGAGGGTTGCTCCTGGGGGAGCCACCACTGGTCTCTGGAATCTAGGAAGAAGAAGGAAAAGATACCTGCAGTCTCCACCTGGCTGCTCACCTCCATCTGTCCACACCAGACCTACCTTTTCCATCCCCCCTAAACCACCTGCCCCACCTTCAACCTCCATCTCCTGGGCTCTGGGTTGGGGGCTTCCACTGAGCTTCTCACCTGAGGTGGGGGCCACCTGAGGGCCCAAAGACATCCGGGGATCCCTGGAGCTGACGTGCACGTCCTGCATGCTGGGGACTTCTGCAGGGAGCAGAGAGTCAGGCCTGAGCAGTGGCCACCCTAACCACCATGTGCTCCCACCCCACTGCTCAGGCAAGGCCTGGGGCACCCAGGACAGCGGAAGTGAAAATGAGCAGACCTGTGATTTCACAAAACACCCTTCCCATGTTTCAAGAGTCTTTAGTCACTTAGAAAAAGCTAATGTTACATGTCCAGCAAAAAGAAAAGCCAGATATAAAATTAGTATCTATGTTTGATCCCAACTAGATTGAATTGATGAAAACACAAACAATCCAATTAAAAAATGGGCAAAGTGGGGTGCCTGGTTGGCTCAGTCGGTAGAGCACGTGACTCTTGATCTTGGGGTCATGAGTTCGAGCCCCATGGTGGGTGCAGAGATTATTTTAAAATCTTAAAAAAGAGGGGCGCCTGGGTGGCTCAGTCATTAAGCGTCTGCCTTCGGCTCAGGTCACGGTCCCAGGGTCCTGGGATCGAGCCCCGCATCGGGCTCCCTGCTCAGCGGGAAGCCTGCTTCTCCCTCTGCCACTCCCCCTGCTTGTGTTCCCTCTCTCGCTGTGTCTCTCTCTGTCAAATAAATAAAATCTTTAAAAAAATAAATAAATAATAAAATCTTAAAAAAGAAATTAAAAAAAATTAAAATTGGGCAAAGAACTTGAACAGACATTTCTCCAAAGAAAATATACAAAGGACCAACAAGCACATGAAAAGATGCTCACTATCATCACTCATTAGGGAAATGCAAATCAAAGCCACAAGGAGCTACTCCTTCACACCCACTAGGAGGGCTCTAATCAAAAAGGCTGAAATAGTAAGTGCTGGTGAGGATGTGGACAAACTGGAAGCCTCAGGCGTTGCAGATGGAAATGTAAATTGGTACGGCCACCGTGGAAACAGTTTGGCAATTCCTCCAAAAGTTAAACACAGAGTCCTCATAGAGCCCAGCAGTTCCACTCCTGGGTATGTACCCAAGAGAAATGAAAACATAGGTTGACCCAGAAACTCGTACATGAGCGTTTATAGCAGTTGTATTCATTAGAGCCAAAAGCTGGAAACAACCCAAATATATATGAGCTGATGAAAGAATAAGCAGGTCGTGGTATACCCATAGAATTGCTATCAGCCATAAAAAGGACGAAATGCCGATGTATCCAGGCTCCAGCCCGGATGAACCTCAACAGCACTCCGCCGGGTGAAAGAGGCGGGCACGAAAGCTGTGCTACCCCTTTTACACGGTATTTCCAGGATAGGCAAATCCAACAAGACAGAGGGCAGATCCGGTTACCAAGGAAGGAGGTTAGGGATAGTGGGGAGTGATCAGTTAATGCGTACAGGGAGCTTTTATGGGTGATAAAATATGGTGTTTGTACATCGTGAGTATGCAAAATAACACCAAAGCATTAGCTTTACCATGATTAAATGTATGTTTTGTGAACTGCACCTCAAGAAAAAAATTCCATATTAAAAACTGGATCATTTTAAACACACATACACACACACACACAATTTGAATGATAGATGAAGGAACAAAAGGAGTGGATCATGAAAAAGCACATATAACTAAACAGCCATTATAGAATTTAGGTGTGGGTACATGGCTGCTTCCGCAGTTCAACTACTTCAAACAACTCTGTATGTTTAAAATTTTTCACCATCCTTCCTCAAAAAATTAAAAGTAGGGCGCCTGGGTGGCTCAGTTGGTTAAGCGACTGCCTTCGGCTCAGGTCATGATCCTGGAGTCCCTGGATCGAGTCCCGCATCGGGCTCCCTGCTCGGCAGGGAGTCTGCTTCTCCCTCTGATCCTCCTCCCTCTCATGCTCTCTGTCTCTCAATCTCTCTGTCTCAAATAAATAAATAAAAAATCTTTAAAAAAAAAAATTAAAAGTAGCATTACCATGTAATTCCACTATTTACCCAAATACGAAAACACTAATTCAAAAAAATATATGCACCTCTGTCTATAGCAGCATTTATAATAGTCAAAATATAGAAGCAGCCTAAGTGTCTATCCACAGATGAATGGATAAAGACAAAGTGATACACACACACACACACACAATGGAATAGTACTCAGCCATAAAAAAAGAATGAAATCTCATCACTTGCAACAACATGGATGGATCTAGAGGGTATCATGCTAAGCAAAATAAGTCAGAGAAAGATAAACACTGAATGATTTCAATCATATGTGGAATTTAACAAAACCAACAGAGAAAAAAGAGACAAACAAAAAACCAGGCTCTTAGCTAGAGAGAACACACCGATGGTTACCGGAGGGGAGGTGGAGGGGGGTGTGGGTAAAGGGGATTAAGAGGGAACTTATCATGATGAGAACTGAGTACAGAATTGCTGAATCACTATGTTGTATACCTGAAACTAATACAACACTGTGTATTAACTGTACTGGAATTAAACAAACAAACAAATAAGCAGGCCTGTCTTCCCAGCATGGGGAATCAGATTAGGGGCTGCTCAGAAACAGGAAAAAAAAATTTTTTACCATTTTATTGTCCAACTTGGTAAACTTACTAAAAATCATGAATTACCGTTAGAGTGGGTGAATTTTATGGTATATGATATTTAACCACTTCCAAGTTACTAAAAAGATTTTTCATCATAAAATGGAGAAAAAAATGCAAAAGACTGAGTAAATATGGATGACAGGAATTTTTGTAATGATGCATAAGAGGACATGCCCCAAAATGCGCATGGTTCCAAGCACCCGGAGTGGGGGGGGAGGGCAGCAGGTGGTGGGGGTCCCCTCCTTCTATTTGTTGGTGCATTTCAAATTTTCCACAGTAAGCATACTACTACATAATGGAGTAGTTATATAAAAGTAGTGAAGGGGCACCTGGGTGGCTCAGTTGGTTAAGCGTCTGCCGTCAGCTCAGGTCACGATCCCAGGATCCTGGGATCTGGGATTGGGCTCCCTGCTTCTCCCTCTCCCTCTGCTCCCCTCCACCCTGCTCTCACATGCTCTCTCAAATAAATAAAGTCTTAAAGAAAAAAAAAAAAGTGAAAATTCCATCCCCCTCTGGACTACATCTTGCCAGTCCCTAGAAAATACTTAAAAAATAATTTAGGGTTGGAAAAATCTAGTAGATATGCAGTAAAATCTTTGCTTTCATTTCACTGCCTATCCTGCCCAGGCCAAGCCCTGGGACGAGGCAGATGCACATTCTCTCCCCAGTTCCACCATCGCCGGCCAGCACCTCCCACCTCCAGCGCTGCAGTCCCAGGCCCCAGCCAGCCTGGGAATAGGCCCCTAGCTTCTTCTCTTCCACCTTCCCAGGCTTCAAGTGCAGCACCACTTCCCGCGCACCCTCCGGGCACCAGGCTCTGCTGGGCAAGTGCCTGGCCCTTCGTTTTCACAACTCTTGCTGGCCCTTGGATTTCTGCAGCCTGCTCCCCACCAGGCTCCCACTCCAACCGGCTCCACTTCAGTTTGGCCCTCGGGCAGGCGCCACGCCTGTCCTCCTCAAGACCTTTCATGGTATCACTGTTGAGCTCCAAAGCTTCAGTGGCTCCCCTGGGCCTATTAGACAAATTTAATCTGCAGCCCAGCCTGAGGTCCCCAGGACAGACCTCCTGCCACCACCCCCACGTCCTTGGCCTAGGACGGGTTCTGGGGCCCCTGCTGGCCTCACTCAGAGCTACTGAGTACTTGAAATGTGACCAGAGTGACTGAGAAACTACGTTTTACATTTATTCTAATCAGAATTAATTTTAAAGTGACGCTTGATTCATTTATTAGAAAATGCTTCAGTACGTTTGGAACAACTTGGGTGTGTGAATCTACTTTTCCAACTGCACATTCTATAAAATCTAAATATAGATCAAGTATGCCAGTGAAATTTTGCATCTGAATTAAGATATGCTATGTGAACAATAAATACATTGGTTTTGGAAGATTTATTTTTTTAATCTTGTGAAAAAAGAATGTAAAATATCCTATTCATAATTCTTATACTGATTACATATTAAAAATATTTAATTGGGTTAATATAAAACATTATTTAAATAAAAAAATTTTAGGGGTACCTGGGTGGCTCAGTCAGTTAAGCGACAAACTCTTGATTTCGGCTTAGGTCATGATCCCAGGATCCTGGGGGCAAGCCCTGCGTAGGGCTCTCTGCTCAGCAGGGAGTCTGTTTGTCTCCCTCTCCCTCCGCCCCTCCCCCACTGGGGTTCTTTCTCTCTCACTCTCTCTCAAATAAATAAATCCTTAAAAAAAATTTTTTTAAACAATCTCTACACCCAACATGGGGCTCAAATTCACAACCCCAAGATCAAGAGTCGCACACTCTTCTGACTGAACCAGCCAGGAGCTCCTTAAATGTAATTTTTTTTTTCTTTTTACGTCGGCTCCACACCCAGCGTGGAGCCCAATGCCGGGCCTGAACTCAGGACCCTGAAATCAAGACCGGAGCTGAGATCAAGAGTCAGATGCTTAACCATCTGAGCCACCCAAGCACCCTAGAAACCACCTAAATTCTAACTTCCGGCCCATCGTGGACTAATGTAGAGAAATCATGAAGCTGAAAAATGTTCACCCACCAAGTGGCTCTAACAGGGAAAAGCGCCCAGAGCATTCAGCATATGTAACAAAGCCCACTAATGACTGGATCCCACTAAAGCATGGGATCAGGGCAATTTCCATTTCTATGCTGCTTTCCTAATTTCTCCAAATTTTCCACAATGAACATAGATTATTTTATAAAAATAGCCATTAAGGTTATTTCTTTTACAATTCAGCCTGGGCTGAAATGCTTTGTTTCTTTCCTTGCTACCTATGTGAATGCCTCTCTGGGGGCAGGCTCAGGGCCACCTCTTCCAGGAAGGCATCCATGGCTCCAGGAGGAACCTCCTGCTTGTGCCCCACAAGGGCCAGGCCAGGCTGAGGCACCGCAGGAGCCTGACCCCGGGGCCCCCACATGGCCTCACCACCACCACCACTACCGACCCTTTGCTTACCAAGCTCTGTGTGTTCAGACACAGTGCCAACTGACTCACTGTAAGAAAAGCACTCTTATTAACCCCATTGTACAGATGGGCAAATCGAGATTCAGAGAGGAGAGGTGCTTGCCCAGGGCCACACCGCTGGTCAGCAATGGAGTAGACTGAACTGTCAAGTTCAGGCCACTGGTTCTCAGCCACCGTGCCCCATGCCTCCCTTGGAACTCTACCATCCTGGCTCACGGGGCCCCCAGCACTAGCACATCCGGGCCAGACACACCTCCCTGCGGTAGCAGAAGGCCACCATCCACCCCCCTCAGCTGAGCCCCAACCCACGTTCTTCCTCAATATCACATCCTCACACCAAGCAAGTACTGGCCCCAGGCCCTTCGTGCTGCAGTTCCTCAGGCCTGGGACGTCTTCTTTGCCAGTGGGGTTGGGGGTGAGGAGAAGGGGAAGACAAAGGCAGGAGCAGTGCGTACTCACTCAGTCACTCAATAAACATTTACTGAATACCCAGCTCGTGCTAAGTTCTTGGGGCGGCAGGGGTCGGGGGGGAGGTATAAATAGCAAGGAGGAAGTCAGGGACCTGGCCCTCAAGGAGCTCCGAGCTAGTAGGCCTGACAAGCCGCACACGATCACTGCAGCCCGAGGAAACCAACTCGAGATGGATGGCCGGTACGTGGGCTCCAGGGGTGAAGGATGCCGCCTCTGCTGGGCAAACGGGCCGGCCCGTGAGGCGGCACAGACGGGCACTCTGCCGAGGGAGCATTGCGGGGGGGGGGACCCTGGCGCAGGGGAGACAGGTGGGGCCCGCACGGCCTCTCCCCCTTGCACCCACACCCCGCCCTCACCTGGAGGAAGATGGCAGGGCTGTGAGTTACAGGGCTCCACCTCCCCGGGCTTGGACAGCCGCAGGCTCCCGCAGCGGCTGGCTGGCCTGAGGGCACAGAGGACCTGGCGCGTCCGAGTCCCCTCGCTGCAGCTCCGGGAACACTGGGGCCCACGGGGTGGGCGTGGGAAGAGAGAACAGGCTCACAAAAGGAGAGAGACCCCGAGGCTGGGGGTCCCCACAAGGAAGAGAGGTAGGGGGAAGGTGCCTGGTGAGGCAGGTCAGACCCAGCGATGGGGCACGTGTCCAGCCACCTGCCAGAGACCCAAGGGCCCAGGACTGGGCAGCAGGGATGAGGGGGAAGTGGGCAAGCACTCACTAGGCCCCAGGCGCCCACATGCCAGGCCTGGTCATGGATGGGGGGACAGTCTTCACGCACACAGGGTTCAGTGACGGGGGGGCGGTCCTCCGAGGAGCACGCCGTAGCATGGAGCAGAGACCCCTCCTCACTCTGGCAAGTGATGCTCCGCCTCCGGACGCCAGCGCCGCAGCTGACAGAGCACTGTAAGGAGCCGGCTGTCGGCGGGAGCTTGTCCTCGTCCAGAGGAGCCATGCGGGGTCAGACAGCTGGAGGCCCCCCCGCCTGGCAGGGAGGGTGGACGGCACCCTATGGCCCATGCCCAGCTCCCAGGCTCAGAGAGGCTGAGCCACTCCTCTGAGGTCACGTAGCCTACACCACGCCTGCTGACCCCAAGCTTAGGGACACTTTGCACGTTCCCTTGTTCGAGACTTGAACATATGTAGGTGCTGGATGTGGTGACAAGCAGCCCCCATCAGGGCCGGCTCCTCCCTCACCCCCAAAGCAAGGCGCCCGGCTGCTCCTTTGTGCCAAGACAAAGCCTTTCCCGCCCTGCCTGGGATCCTGGAGGAGGAGGAGGAGTCCAAACACCTGCTCCTAGTCCCAGCCTCCACAGCGGCTTTCAAGACGACCTAGCAAGTCCCTTTACCTCCCAGCATCTGTTTCCCCGGTGGAGGCCAAGCTTCCCAGCCCAGCTCTGCTGCAGCCCCATCGCTAGTCCCAGCGCCTGATTTCGTCCCCACCCTGCCCCAGCCCCATGGGGCAGAGGCCTCACCTCTCCCCAGGGCTCTGCCCTCCAGGCTGCACAGCGCTGCAGGTGGCAAGCCCGCGCGGTGGGGGGCTTCCCAGGCAGGCCTGCACACTCCGCCTCCTCGGCGGCCTCCTGGACGCCAGCCCCATCAGACAAGACGCAGTAGACGGAGCGGGACTGGGAGCCACCACCACAGGAGGCCGAGCAGGGCGACCAGGGCCCCGTCTTCCAGCTGGCAGGGAGCAGGGATCCGGTGAGGCTGGCCCAGCAGCAGGGCCGGAGTCCAGGGACCACCAACTGTCACACACAGGAGCGGACTGGGGACCCCCCAACCTGGCCCGTCCTAACATCTGGGCCTGTACGGGTGGGGGGCGGAACACTCTGCATAAAAGGCCAAGCCCCCCCCCCACCGCCCCGCTTGCCATCTCTCACCACCGAGCACTGGTCCCTACAACACAGAGCCTGGCTGCCCCCCGCCCCAGCTTTCCTGTCCTCACCTGTATCCCCTGTTCTCCTCACCAGGTCCCCTGTCAGCCCCAGCCAGACTCCATTGCCTCTGTTGGGGGCATCTCCCAGAGGGGCCATGCTCACCCACGTGTGGAGCGGCCCTGAGGCACCGGAGGAAAGGGCAGCCCCAGCTGCACCATGCAAAGCCAAGCCCACCACCATCCTGCAAGGCCAGATGCCACCAAGGCCATGAGGGCGGAAGGATGGCACCAGCCGGGCAGGGAGCCTGCAGCCTGCAGATTACCTGTTCCTGCACGCACGCTGGGCCCCAGCAAGGTGCCACGCTCTGGGCCGGTGCAGGTAAGAGGTCCTTCGTGCGGGAACAAAGGCATTACTGATGCCCACAGGCCCCCTGGCCCAGTCCCTGGCCCACTTCCTGGCATCTGTCGAGCCAAGTCCCCTGCCGGCTCGGACAGGGCCTCCAGTACCTTCCCCCTCGCTCCCACTACCAGCCTGGACACTCTGGACACTGAGTGGGCACACACGGGTGGACAGAATAGCCCTGGATCTCCCGCTCATGCCCCCCGCCCCACTGCTTCCCCCCGTTACAGCTGCCTCCTCCCCACTCCACCACAGGTGTAGGGAGCCGGGGACACCTACCTGTTTGCGCAACACCTAGAGTAGCCCAGAGACCCCACGGCCTTCCCACCCAAGGGCTTGGGCCCCACCATGGGGGGAGGGGCTGGCAAGGGCCTTACCGCTTGGTCTGCGGGCAGGGGTGAGTGCTGCAGGAGCGGCGGTCAGCCGGCCGCAGCTGATGCTGGCACATGTGGTCAGGGTATACCTCGTCGTCAGTGGTGCAGAACACCGGGCGGGACTGGTGACCTGCAGAGGCCCGGCCATTGAGGGCGGGTGGTCAGTCAGCAGTCACCAAATGCATTGTCTGGGCTGGGCACCATTCTGCACGCATCCCAAGTGTCGTCTTGATTAAGCCTCAGATGACCCCCTGGGATAAGTGCCATCATCACCCCCAATTCACAGAAGAGGAAACTGAGGCTTGAGGGGTGTTATCTGAGGTGCTGGAGCCCTGCTCCGACACCTGGTCACCCGCTGGGCTGGGCCCCTGCTGCCCACGGAGGGCCGTCTCCTCCGGGATTCCGCCACCTTGGGGAAGCCTCTGGTTCTCTTAGCTTCGGGGTTGGGTAAGGGGGACCCTTCATGGAGTCCCCGAGCCCTGCGGTTCCCCCCCCCGTGACCCCCACGACATGCAAATGGCCCACCTCCACCGCACTCGGCGCTGCAGTCACTCCACGAGCCGTGGCCCCAGCGGAAGCCGGGCGGGGGGCTGCCCAGGGCCAGGTGGTACTCGTAGCGCACGCCCGGGTTGGGCTCCTGGCTGAGGAGCTGTGCGGGAGGGTCCTCGCTGAGACCTGCCCCCCCGGGGGACCCTCCCCCCTCGGCCTCGGGGGGGACCGGGCGCCCACCCCCCGCCCCCGCCCCCGCCCCCCAGCCCCTCACCTCGATGACCAGGGGCTCGGAGGTGGGGCCGCGAGCGAGGAGCCGCTCGGGCGCCAGGTCCCCCTCGGCCCCGCGCTCGTAGTGCAGGACGGTGCTGGCCGCGGGCAGGGCCCAGGCGCCCCCGATGGTCCAGTGCCCGTTGAGGTAGTATTCGCCGCGCACGCTCTTCACCGCTGCGCAGGGGTGAGGCGCCGGGTGAGCTGCCGCGGAGGGACCTGCCGCCCGGCCACGGCCCAGACTCGCCCCAGACCGCACTCACCCAGGAAATTCCTGCTGGCCGCCGCCTCCTCCACGCGGATGCTGGTGGCCCCCGTGGGAATTATGAGGATCTGGTTGTAGCCTGCGGGGGCAGAGACGCTCTGGGACCACCCACGCCCCTGGCAGCACAGCCGGGCTCAGGGACCGGCAAGCTGGACCCGGCAGGGCTGTGCCGCTCGGGGGCTCGGGGCAGAGTCCTCCAGAAGGGGGGAAGCAGCTTTAGGAAGGGTGGGCAGGCCGGGGCAGCTGAACTGACTGGGAAGTGGGGGGACAGCTGGGGACCCGCGGGAAGGGGCGAGGAGGGGCATCCAGCCGGCAGCAGGGTGCGCTTACACCAGATAAGTGGGCAGAGGTCCTTACGAGCCCAAGCCGACAGGCTCTGTGACCTGAGTGCCAGATCAGACCCCCTCAGGGCCACCAGGGTGACTCAGCTGGAACAGAAGTCAGGCAAGGAAGGGACAGGTGATAGACCCTCCCCTCAGCTGCCTGGACTCCCCCCAGGATTCCCACCTCTGCTGAGGTCATTGGCATCAAAGGTGCCCATGACAGGGTAGCAGGTCGTGCCGTCACCCCCACACTGCAGACACTTGTCCTCCTCCTTTGAGGAGTCAAGGTTGTGGTCACAGCCGACGACCTACCGGGCAGAGATGAGGAGAAGAAAGACGGCAGAGGGCATCACAGACGCACCAGGATTCGAACCCGGGTCGCCGCTCCGATCAGGGAGGGGCAGTAGCTATTCATCAGCCACTGAGGCCGGTGAACCCTCCAACTGGCCTGTGGCGGACAGTCTACATCTTCCGCCGGCTCAGCCCCCGTCTCCCCTTCTCTGCCAACAATGCCTCATCTTCCTTTGGGGGCCTCCTCTCTCCCAGTTTGGACAGAGCGTGGGCAAGTCAGTGGGTTCCATGCTCTGCTCCAAGAGAGTGGTTCACGGGAAACCCCCAGCCAAAACAAAGCCGAGGCAACCCCGGGTCGCTGGGACTCCTGGGAAGTGGGTGCCCTTTCCAGCCAGAGCTGGGAGCTGCTGGTGGCCATCTGCACACCTCCCAGGATCCCAGTGCTGACCCAGAGGAGAGTAAAGCCCAGAGGCGAGGAGACATTTCCAGCCCCTTGCAGCCAGCCAGCCCACCCCTCGATGGCTTTCTTCCCCTTTGTCAGTTTTAGTGGCGTTTCTGTCACTTGCCACCCAGAGGATCACTCCTACAGTGGCGCCAGTTTCCAAAGGGCGAAGGGAAGAAGGTCACAGGGCATCTGTGATGCAAAGACACCTAAAAGCTGGTCATGAGAAGACATCAAGCTCAGGAGAACCATTGGCCATGTTGGTGCAGGGCAGGGAAACATCCGGCAATAAGCCCCAGGCCAGCCCCCAGGGGGGCGGGGGGTGGGGGCAGGATCACCACTCACCCGGCAGCTGCCATCCACACAGACGTCCCGGGTGCCAGGCTCACAGGGCGTCCCATCCACGACAGCCTCCCTGTGCTTGAAGTAGAAGTTCTCCCCCTTGGGAATGCAGTTCAGTTCGCACTTGTTCGGGGCTGAGGCAGACAAAGGGGAAAGCTGAGATCCCAAGCAAGCTGCAAGTCATATCCTGGGCACAATGAAGCATGGGCGGGGGCCAGAAGCACAAAAATGGGGGGCGAGCGGGGAGAGAAAGTCCTTGCATCGGCTCTCCCAGGTGGCTCAGAATCCCACCCCAACCCCCACGGGAAGCAACTATTCACAAAACTGCGGCCTCTCTGGGGATCAAGTGGATGAAAAATCCCAGGATAGGGAAAAAGCTAGCCCCTTGGAGAGGTCTGTCCAGCCTTATAAATAAGGCTGTGTGTTAACAATCAGCTCCTCTGAGTCAATTATTAACAGACCACTATGCATGTGGGCTATGCTGTAAAGTACAGGGACTATACGTAACATGGGGAGACGCTTCTCCCACACAATGCAGAATGGGGCTACAGAATAATTACAAATACGTGTTAGATAGAGAGAAAATAATGTGAAAAGGGCTAGACTGGAATGCTAGACCAAATCCTATGAAAGGTGTGGGGTCAAGGTCATTTAGGGGTTTAAATTTTTATAGCCAACTAAATATTATATACACATTGTTTAAAAAGCCAAAAGTGCTAATAGGAGTGCGGTCACCTCCACCACAGAGAAGGCATCCCTCTGTGACCCTTTCCTCTGTGTTCTGGTTTTTCTATATGGATATATTTAGGGCACTGGGCGTGGAGTCTGCTTGGGATTCTCTCTCTCCCTCTGCCCCTGCCCACACACAAGCGTGCACACTCTCTCTCTCAAATAAATAAATCTTTTTAAAAATATATGGATATATTTAAATTATCCAGGAGGAGCAATGAATGCCAACAGACTGCCCTGGGGTCACCCCTCTAGCCAAGACCGTGTTCCCCATCCAATAGCACACACAGGATATAAATGTTCATTGATTTGGAAGCCAGAGCACCATACTATCCAGGAGTCATTTGCAATGAGCAGTGACTAATACTTAGAAGGGGTAGCCTAAGGAATCTTTTGACTCATCGAAAATGCTTTAGTTATACACAAGTGTTTTTTTCTTAAACTAGATTGCTCTAAAAATTAACCACCCTCCTCAAAGCCACTCAGAGCAAGCCCCTGGGCCCCAGAGATCCTGAGTAAATGGACTCTTGCCATACCAAGCCCCTTGCAGCCCCAACCTGCAGTTGGCCCAAACTTGGCTCGGCCCCACCAGCGCCCCTCCTCCCCACGGCCTCTGCACATCATGAGGACCTCTGTGCACCATGAGGAATGCTTCCGGAGCAGGCCAAAAGAGCAGGGCTCAAAATGGCCCAGACATGGCCTGGTGGCTTTGCTTGAGAATGTATAGAGGGCAAAAAGGATGGAGAGACCCCAAATAACCACCCCCCCCACCCCGTTGTATTGCGATGAGCACCTGCTGGGAGTCCTGTGAGTTTTTAAAATGCATTTGACAGAGCATCTATAATACGGTGGAAGCGTTGCACAATGGAAAGTCAACGTACAGAAGAGATCCGGAATGGGTGGGGCTCAGCACAGGACAAGGCAGGGGTGCGGCAGCAGGGCTGCGGGCGCTGGGACCTCCACTCACCTCCATAGTAGGGCAGCCACTTGTACCGCCTTCCCTGGAAGTCCTGGCCGTCAAACTGGGAACACTGCTGGGCCCGGAAGTCCCTGGTGCCTGCGGGGCAGCTCTGCGGGGGGCCAGCGGGGAAGGGAGGGACAGGTGGGGCCTCCACCTGCCCCACTGCTCCTGGGGAGGTCTGTCCCATCCCCACCAACAGCTTCCCCCTCACCCCAGCAGCTGCAGGGGCTTTGGGCTGCTTGAGGGGAGGCTGTCATTCTGGGTGGGAGGTGAGGAAGGCAGGGGGTGCACCTGCGGGAGGACGCCCCGGGGACTGGGAGGTCAGTAAGGTAGAGGGTCCCAGAAGCTGACGTCCCCACCCTGCGGGCTTTACCTCCGTGTGGCAAGAGCGGTGGCTCCGGGCGGGGCCCACGCAGCTGGAGCCCCCATCCCTCCTGAGGATGAGAGCACTGGGAAGACGCGAACCCCGCGAACCAACACCCCCTCCTCCTCCTAGGGCTCTCCTGCAGGCCACTCTGGGCAGAGGAGGGGTGCCCACACACACAGATCCCCTCAGGTAGGGATAATGAGCCCTGTGTTTATACTTGGAAAAACTAGACTCAGAAGTCTATCCTGGAGTTCCTTTAACTCGGGGCTACCTTGCCTCTTATAGCAAATTTCCAGAGAAGACCCAAACTCTGCCTCTGGAGATAAAATAAGATGTAATGTATACCCACCTGGTAAGGTCATTCCGCCATTTAAGGAGTATGCGGTGGCTGGAGTAATAGCTCATGGTTCTTGTCCTCACACGAGGTTCTCCAGAATAGTGAGTTCAACCCACTGACAGGCAAAGGGTCACCACCCCCCTTGTTTTGTGCCCCACCCTTCTCTAGCACCTATCAGAGTGCAGGGCACACAGTAGGTGCTTAATATCTCACTTAAAGTGGGAGACCTCTATACTTAACAAAGAGGCCGAAGGGAGAGAAACTGCACAGGGTAGGCATTGAAGATCGTTCATTCGTTCACCAAGAATGTACTCCACCTGGCACATGCCAGACAGCATTGGCAACTGGAGACTCGGGGGTGGGGGAAGCAGGCACAGCTCTAGCTCTCCTGAAATAAGGCTGATTGTTGGAATCAGAGACTGGTGGGAAATGATTTGATACTCCATCCATGCTGCTCTCACAACAAACCCATGGTTCGGTGGGTTCTCCCAGGCCCAGGACCAGCTGCCCCCTGACCAGCCTGCCCCCTGTCCTCTAACAAGCTGGCCCCACCCAGCCTCCCCTACCTCTGGGAGAAGCAGGGGCGCTCCCGGAAGCTGATGCCCACTCCGCAGGTCCGGCTGCAGGGGCTCCAGGTGCCCCAGGGGCCCCAGGTGTCGCTCTGCCGCCTCACCTTGGGAGCCTGGAGGAAAAGACACGCTCAGAAGTGTGAGTCGGCACTCAGAGCCCCCTCGGGCTCACCAGAGGGCCCCTTCCTAAAATCATTCCCCTCCCTCGCCTTGGGAGCCTGGGATTCTCTCTCCCAGAGCAAAAACACCAGGCGCCCCAAACAGACTCAGCCAGCTTTCAGCGTGAGGAGCTGGGAGCCTCCCCAACACGCCCTGGCCTCCTGTACCCAGCACCCGCCACGCAGAGATCCACTTGTGGGGGGCAGGGCCCACGAGCCGATGCCCTCCACACCGTCTCTCCCAGGAAAGAACGCACATTTGGCGGCAGCCACGGGCGGCACAGGCACGTTCTGTTCCTCCGCGATTCCCCGAACCGCGAGCTGGCTGTGCGGCGCGGGACTGAGCTCGGCCTGCCCGCCCTCCCGCTGGCCTGTCCGCACCTGCTCCCGCCGCCCCCCGCACCCAGCGCCGCCCCCTCCGACTCCCCGCACCCTCCACGGCAGCCTGGGGCCCTCTTTCCTGCCGTGCTGCTCCCGGGGCCGCCCGGTGCGGGGGTGGGCGCGGGAGAGGGTTGGGGCGGTGGGGCCGGGGTCGGCGGGCGGCTGCAGCGGCGCGTCCTTCCTCCCTCCCCGCTGTCGGCGCTCAGGGGGACCGTGCGGGGGCTCGGCCCCCAGCCAGAGCCAGCACGAGGGCGCAGCTGAGCCGTGGCGTGGGCGCAGGAGCGTTCGCGGCCCCACCTGAGCTCACGTGCTGCGGGGAGGAGGGCGCCGGGAAAGGGTACTCAGCTGTTTCTACGGCAGAAAGCACCTGAGGACCCAGTGCGTTTTGTACTCCTTGACTCGTTCCACCTGCACAGTAACCTGGGGGTGGGGATTATAACCCCCCAGTGAAAGGGAATCTCAGGCCTGTCAAGCTTATGGTCAAGCAGCAGTTAGGGGGTGGCCCTGGGTTTCCTGCTGGGGTCCTGATGCTGGCACCACAATCCCCTCCACCTGAGCGGGGGCCTTCACGCAGCCGGGCACCAGGGAAAGCCTGTGCCAGGGACCTCAAGGACCACGGGGCGGCAGGGGTGACTGGGGAGCTGGCAGGTGATGGAGAGGACATGAGAAAGGGGGGCTCTAGCCCACCTGCGGCTCTGACTGTGGCTGGTGGTGCTGGGTCAGTGGGGCTTTGAAGGCCTGCCCACCGAGCACCACTGACGTCCATCTCGGCCTGCCCGTGCAGCCCTCTCATCCCTGACTCACACTCCACAGTGTGGCATCTCCCTTGCCCTCCCCCACGGACCTCCCGCTTCACAGAGGGGTGGGCAGGGCTGTGGGGCTCCCCCTGTGAAGAGCTCTCCAGGGGCAGGGTGGCACCTGGCTGCTTCTGTGCCCTCCATCCTGTCAATGCCAGGAGCAGCATCCAGGACAAAGCCCACCTCTATGGACCCTCCCCTCCGCAGAGGTGGGTCCTGCCTTCTAGAAGACTTCTTGTATAACCTCAGGATCCAGGTTTGTTCTCCAGGGAGCCCCGTTAACAAAAGAGCTACTCTGATCACCAGTTGACTCCTGTGTCCACTCTCCAAATTTGCACTATAATGTGGTAACGGTTAGCTACACGTGGCTATTTAGGTTAATTAAAATCAAATCAAACACGTAATTCTTCAGTGGCAATAGCCACGTTTCATGGACTCAGTGGCCACAGAACCAAGTGTCTATCCTACTGGACAGCACAGTTTAGAACATTTTTTATCATCTCAGAAAGTTCTATTGGCCATCCCTGCTCTATCTAGAGCTAAATCCCCACTGTTGAGGGGGACCTCTAAGCACAGTCAAGCTGAGGGGCAGCTCAACTGGGTCCCAGCAGATGATGGGATGGGCCATCTAGCCCTGCACTTTGGCTGGTGCCAGCACCACCCCCGCCCATTCCTTCCACCTTGGAAGGCCACCCCGGGGAGGGGGGGGTCCCGGCATTAGGGTGCACCCAGCACCTTCGGAAGGAGGACGGCGGTGGGAAGTTGCCAGTCCTGCGCACTGCGTCCTGCAGCGGGGAGGGCAGCTCTGCACCCCGTGGTCAGACCGCTTCAAGGCTGCACCCCTTTTTCTGAAAGAGCTGGGGGTGGTCCCAGGGCTCGCCTCTCCCACCAACTTCCCCTCGCCGCCGGGAGCGGGGGCTTGTCCCCCGCCTCGCTGTGCGAAGGGGGGGGCGGGCCGAGCAGCGAGCAGGGCGGCACTCACCGAGGACCCGGGCGCCGGGGCCAGCAGGAGGGGCACGAACAGGAGCAGCCGCATCTCGGCCTGCGGGAGAGGCCGGGGTTGGAGCGGGCGGGACAGGGCCCGGGCTCGGTCCGCGGTCCTGCGGGCGGGGGCGCGTCCCTCCGTCCGCGTTGCCCACCCGTGACCGCAGAGCCGCAGAGGGCCGAGCGGGAACGCCGCGGGGCTCAGTGGGCCGTGGCACTCACGTGGGGGAGAAAAGGCCCGCCTACTACTGGCTCCTAAAAGTCCAAGAATACCTTCTTTCAGGATTTCAAAGGGGAAAAAAAGAGGGCAATTAAAAATACTTGCTGAAGGACAGGTTCAGAATCAAAGCAATCAGTCTCACGGGTTTTAATTTAGCAAAAGAGTCTTTTTTAAAAAGCCATTATACCTGTTGTTTTTAAAACTTAATTTTTGGGGGGCGCCTGGGTGGCTCAGACGTTAAGCGTCTGCCTTCGGCTCAGGTCATGATCCCAGAGTCCTGGGATCGAGCCCCGCATGGGGCTCCCAGCTCCGCGGGATGCCTGCTTCTCCCTCTCTCACTCCCCCTGCTTGTGTTCCCTCTCTCGCTGTATCTATCTCTGTCAAATGAATAAATAAAATCTTTAAAAAAATAAATAAAACTTAATTTTTTAAAAGATTTTATTTATTTGATGGAGAGCACGCTCACACAAGCAGGGGGAGGCAAGCAGAGGGAGAGGGAGAAGCAGACTCCCGCTGAGCAGGGTGCCCGATGCGGGACTCGATCCCAGGACCCTGGGATCATGACCTGAGCAGAAGGCAGACACTCAACAGACTGAGCCACCCAGGCGCCCGTTAATATATATATATATTTTTTGAAGATTTTTTATTTGACAGAGAGCACCATAAGCAGAAGGAGAGAGAGGGAGAAGCAGGCTCCTTGCTTAGCAAGGAGCCGGATGTGGGACTCGATCCCAGGACCCTGGGATCATGACCTGGGCCGAAGGCAGCCGCTTAACCGACTGAGCCACCCAGGCATCCCTAATATATATATATTTTTAAAGAAAGTCTCGGAAGATGCTTTTAAAACTCAAAGGCTTTAAAAACGTCAGTTGTATCCTACTTTAAACCCAAGCCAGCATTTCTCTGCACAAGCTCCACAAGTCGATTCTGTAACCAGTGTGTGTGTGTGTACATGCAGTGTGGTGTCTGAGTGTGCAGGCTGTGAATGACTCCGCAGGAGGAGTGTAGTGTGTGCACAGGTCCAAGGAGGTGTGTAGCATGTGCGTATACACAGTGTAGGTGTGCAGTGCGGCGTGAATGTGCAAGGAGGGTGTGTGTGCAGTGTGCTGTGTTCTGTGCACAGCATGTGCATATGTGCATGTGTGTACATGTCACTGTATTGGAGAATGACATAAGCAATATGCTTATTCAGTACGAAACATTAAGTACTGACTTGTACGTTTAAATTTAAAAATCTGTAATCTACCAATGTTATAAATTTTTAAAGTATAAAATGACTTCATTTTGCAAGGACAGAACAGCATACTAAGCCAAGTTCAGCAAAATTTAACCTGGCACATTTAGCGACGTACATGCTTCGTTAACTTAGCACAAACGGTGATTCATTTAGTTATTTTCACAGTCAAATCAGAGGTTCCTGGGGCTAGCAGGTGGGGGGGGGACTTGAGGGGGGTGCTGCCTCCTCTCCCACACGCCGCCACCCCCACCGACCTCTGCTCTGCGCCCGCAGCTCCTGTAAGGGCAGCGTGCGAGAGGGGAGGCCCGCGTTTGAGAACCAATGACTAGATGAGCGACAAGGGATGCTTCTCTAAAAGAGACCGCCTTTAGGAACGGAGGCGAGCAGAGCCCAGGGAGAGACTGGAGAAAAGACTGTACTTACAACTGCTACTAGGTTCTACCACCACCGCTACAATTGCACTAGATCAAGACCCCCAGCTGCAATCCCGAGGTCCCGAAAGCCAGAGAGGTTAGTTCAATTCACTTGGGAGAAAAACAGAAACAAGACACCGTCCAACTCCAGGGCCAGCCCTGGGTCTTGGGCCCTCGGACCACCCTGCGGGGCTCCCCCAGCTGCACGAGGGCCCGGCCCGCTGCGCCCCCGGCCGGCAATGTGCGCTCTTTTCACGTCGTGTCCCCGAGGAACGCGGCGGGGCCCGATCAGGGCCGAAGCAGCGGCCGGGGGTGCTCCGCGGCCGAGCAGGTCTGCGCCTCCTCGCGGGGGCTGGCCCAGGACCCGCGCTCGGGGCTCCTGCGCGCCCGGCGCCCCATCCCCCCACCGCCCGCGGCGGACACCCGGACGCCCGCGGCCGGCGCGAAGCCCTTCCCCGTCCGCCCCCTACTCAGGAATCTGCCCGGCTTCGGTCGCGAGGAGGCGCCCGCGGCCCGCACCCCAACTCGGGGACGGGCCCCCAGCCCCTCCACCCGCCCGGGGACGCGCCCGGTGCAGCCCCCGAAAGCGGAAAGGTGCGCTTCCTACGGGAGGCGCCGGGGCGACCCGGCACGCACGGGCCCTGGCGGCACCTCGGGGTGGGGGCGCGCTCGGTCTGCGGAGCCCGGTGCCGGGGCGGCGCGGGAACGGCGTCCCACCGAGGCGAGGTCCGAGGGCCGGGCGGCGTGGGCGCGGGGCCCGGGTCGCGTCCGGCTGCCCAGCACGAGCCCCCGTAGCTCCCCGCGTCTCCTGCCCGCCGGTGACCTCCCAGCCCCTCCCAGCGGTGACCTGGCGGACAGAGCCGGAGGCAGGGTCTCCTCGGGGATCCCCCACTTCCTCCGACGCGGCTCTGCCCGCGGGCCGGGCGGGGCGCGTTCCTGCAGCAGCCCCGGGCCGAGCCGCCGCTGCCGCCGGGTCCCGGTCCCTCGGCTTTCCTACCTGTCTCCGGGCGCGCAGGGCCCGCAGTGCCGCTCGGTCGGTGCCCGCCCTGGGAATGGGAGGCTGGCCTGGCGGCGCGGAACGCCTACGGAGGTTGGACTTTCCCTGCCGCTGGCTGGCTGCCTCCCCGCCCCAACTCCCCCCACCCGGCTCTGCAGACACCCATCCCCAATCCCAGTGGAGCGGCCCCCACAGTGGCCGGTGCTGCATCCCCGTGGGTCTGTGCCAGGGCTTGGCTTGCCCTCCACTCTGTTTCCTCTCTTGGGCGGACACTAGTCACCACCCCGTCCCATTTCCTCTATGCCTAAGTCACCCACCTCTGTATCATCCCCCCTCCACGCCCCTCTTAACTCACAACACACCTCGGTGTCAGGCTCTCTGCTCCTCTAACACCCTGGAATTCTATACAGGGAGACCTCACTCTATTCGGCCTCCTGGGGTTGTTTTGGGATTTGGGGGGCTTTTTTGCGATTGGCTTTATTCCGCTTTGCAGATAAATTGCATCTTTTACAAACTGAAGGTTTGTGGCAACCCTGCCTGGAGCAAGTCTCTTGGCATCCATTTTTCCAACAGCATTTGTTCACTTCGGGTCTCTGTCATATATTGATAATTCTTGCAATATTTCAAAATTTTTCATGGTGATCAGTGGTTACGATGCCCTGCAAGCTCAGATGATGGTTAGCATTTTTCAGCAGTAAAGTATTTTTTAATTCAAAAAATTGTTTTTTTAGGGGCGCTTGGCTGACTCAGTGGGTAGAGCGTGGGACTCTTGATCTCAGGGGTTGTGAGTTTGAGCCCCACGTTGGGCATACAGTTTACTTAAAAATATTTTTGGGTTTTTTTAGACATGCTATCTATCGCACACTTAATAGACTGCGGTATAGTGTAAACATAAGTTTTATATGCACTGGGAAACCAAAAAATTTATCGACTTACTTTATTGCAATATTCACTTTATTGCGGTGGTTTGGAACCAAACCTGCACTATCTCCAACATATGCCCGAACTTCAGCCACAGCTGAGTTTCTCCACACATACACTGCTGCTTCCTACCCTCCTAGCCAGTTTCCCACTGCTGAGAATGCACTCTGGAAGCCCACTCTACCTTGCAAACTCCTACTCATCCCTCAAGACCCTGGCCAAATGTTGGCTCTTCGAGAAGCCTTCCCCACACCATGGCAGGCAGAGTCGGTGCCCACCGGGCTCCCTCAGTCTCTGTCCCTGTCTTTGGTGGTTTATGGTGCATCGCTCTGTGGGAATCTGAGTCTCCCAGACTCAGCTGTAAACTGAAGATAAATCTTGCCTCCCCATCACCTGTGCCCAGGGCACTTGGTAGGATCAAGGTAGGGGCTCAATAAATGTGATCAATTCAATTTCCTTTCCTAGTTGTCCTTTTTCTCAACAAAGGCACTTCTTGCCTGCCATCCCTTTTTTGAACCTGAAAATCACCTACCTCTAGGAAAACAGCATTGGCCCTGGGCCACATGGGAGTTGGGGAGGTCACAAGGCTGGTCCCTTTCCCTCATCCTCTTAGGCCTTTAGGCCTTTGCTTACCCTGGCCACTGGTCATTTCTTCCCCGGGTCTCCACTGGGGCAGAGGAAAGTCACCAGCAGGAAGCCCACCCCTTGTTCAGACCTCCCAGCTCCTGTAGGTCATTTCTCTAAGCTGTCACTGATATTCAGACAAAATGCTTATTAAAACAAGCATTTTAAATCTGCCCCATTTCTTACCCATCAATGAAGAGAGAAGCAGCTGCAGCTGTGTAGCAGGGGCCCCTGGGGACTGGTGCGAATTCTTAGGCAAAGATAAAGCTTGGCAGAGAAAAGGGAATGGAATTACTCAAAGCCTGTCTAAAAGAGGAAAACAGTTTCTTCCATTCAAGAAGCCCCACTCCCTGCCCCTGTAAGCCAGGAATTTTCTGACCTTGGTCAAAGGTCCCCCGTAAAGGAGGAGGAAGCTGCTTCTTCTGCTAAGGTGGGGGCTGGGTAGCCGAGGCCCCACCTTCCTTCCTGGCCTGTTCCTGGTTTTCCTCAATGAGCCCTTTTCAGACACCCCGGCCCACGAGTTCTTACTCCCCACCCCTGCTGCAAAGAAGCCCCCGAGGGTGGGGAGGCAGCGCCCACACACAGTGCTAAGGGGCAGCCTTGGACCCACCAGCAAGGCCGGAGCAGTTCCTGGCTTAGGCAAGTTGTCCTCCTCTCCAAGCCTCAGGTTCTGCTACCCCAGAGGGACGTGGTGAGTTCCGTGCCAAAAACTGGTGTGCACAATCAGTGTACATACAAAAAAAAAATGGTGAGGTAGAAAGAAGATTCCAGGAAAAAGTGGGAGACCTTCCCTCTCATTGTAAATCCCCTCCCTCTGCGCCGGCCCCATACCACGCCCTGGTGGCACCAGACGCACTCCCTTCCACTTGGGGGGCTGAGTAGCCCCTGGGGGTGGGGGGCAGAAGGACTACAGCCCTCGGAGGCAGACACACCTAGATTGGGAACCTGTTCTGCTTCTCATAGTGTGTGAATTTAGGAAAGTCAGGTCACCTTAAGCCTCAGCTTGCTCACTGGAGCCTCCCACAGAGGGTGGTGTAGGGAAGTCAGCGCTTCTCTAAAGAGCCCACTAAGCGCCAGTAAAAGTGAGTTCCTTCTGCCCCATGTTCCCTCTGCCTGTATCCTGGATTCCGTACTTCCAGATCATCTCTGCAGACTGCAGATCTGGGGACACCACCTAGAAATAAGGGGCCAGATCTTTTTGTCAGGCTGGGTTGGGATGGAAAACTGGAGAGAGAAGGGAGAAGGCAAAACCTCAGGGCTCCCAGGATGCGCCACTTCCAGGAAGCCTTCCCGTCGGCCTGCCTCTGTGCTCCCCCAGCGCGGGGTTTGCAGTTTGGAACAGCGGCAATGATACATTTGTCTCTCTTTCTCCCTCTCAACTGTGGACTTTGCAAGGTCAGGGATCTATCGTCCCCCCCCCCAACCCCCCACCTTGTGCCCTGTACCAGAGGTTGGTGGCAGCCGTGAGGATGTCCCTCAAGAGAGCACGGTGCAGGAAGCATGGCTGAGGACAGAGTCCAGTTGCCACACATCGGGCTGCATCACGTTCTGAAGGCCAGCCCTGTTCCTGCTCCCACCTGCTTATCTTCACAGCGTTTCCCCTAATAGATCTCTTGCACATCTAATCGGACCTGACACACAGGGTTCTTGGTTGCAATGCACAGAAAAAGAGGTAGTTCACTTAAACAGAAGCATTGCTTAGAGTAAGGACATGGAGAGCTCATGGAATTGACAGGAAGGCTAGAGAATCGGGCACAGACAAGGGCTGCAGTCCCTGCCAAGGTCATAGACCATGGCCCAGGGACAGTTCTGGTTAGGACCGTCGTACTGGATACTGGGCTCCTGCCCCCACCACTTTCGTGCAGGTTACACTTACCCATATCACCCCCGGAAAATCGCCTGAATGGTCCTTGTAGATACCAACCCCAACAGGAACATGCTTGCACCCTGTTTGCCAAGACCTAAGAAACAAGAACGGGCAGGTTCCCCAGATGGAAACCCCATTCAGATGCTGGGCTACCCCCCAAAAACAGATGTCTTCCATCTCCCTTCGGCACCCAGCATATGGTATTTGTGGACCTGAACTTAGAATGCTGCTTCTCTTCTTCCTTCTCTTTCTGGTGGTTGTTTATTCATTCCTTGAACGTTTGACGGCCTACGCTGCCAGAAGCTGGGGAGAGACCTGTCCAGTGCTGCTATACATTTACCAAGCAGCTCTCTGGAGGAGAAAATTTCCGAGGTGTAAATACTTGATGTCTGTTTTCAAGCTACCAAGGTAAAGTCACAAACCACAGGGCTGGGAAGAGACACGGTCAGCTCTCCCAAGCCATGGGCTCCAACATGCACCTCGTCCTGCCCTTGGGGAGGTCACATTCTAGTAGGGAGGGCATTGCATGGGAGCGTTGTGTGTGAATTTAGAATAAAACAATCTTACAACCTGAATATTCAAATATTTCCACTATGCCCCAGCCCACTAGGAATCCAAAAGGAAAAAGAACACTTCCCATTTGAGGATTTCTCCATTTCTCTCTCTACCTTTTCTTCACCCTCCCACACATATATCCATTTCCCTTGATAGAGTCAAAGCTGGGGGAAGGTTGGTGGGGGGGAGCGTAAATGCTCCTTCTTAGTCTGCCCCTCAACTTGACTCTGCTTCCAAATCCCACACTAATCTGTTCTCCTCCCCCTCTTGCTGCCATATCCAAGGCAGGACCTTGAAACACCAAGCAAGACCACGAGAGTGAGAAGTCCAAAGCTCAGTATGTCTGACAAGTGCTGTCATAAGATAAGCCACCTGGCCTTTGGAGGGGAGTTTTATCCTCAAAGCTGGGACAGAAATAGGGCCCCCTGACCCTTCCTGAAGACATGAGGGCCATCTGGAGAGAAAGAACAAGTCCTGGGATGTTCGTCAGTGACATCAGGCCTGACACGGACCCACCCTATCTGCCCCATCCTCCATCCAGATCCTGGGACAGGGCACCAGAAGGGAGGGGGAGACCATGTGAAGAAACTGGAGTTGGGGCAGGAGATCAGAGTCAGGAGACAGCAACACAGAGGGAAGAAAGGGCCTTTCCAGAAAACTTGTCCTGCTTGGCTCCCACCCAGCAGCTCCAGCCTCAGAGATCTCATCCCTTTCCTTCCACACAGGAACACACACACATGTGCACACACACTGTAGGGATCGGGCTACAGTATCCTCTGCAGAAACTCACTGCATGAGCTCCTGAAGACATTAAAGGGGCAGGTGTGAGGAGCCCCCCTGCCTTGCCCACCCTCTGCTTCCTAGTGGGAGAGGGGTTCGGGGCCCAGGCCCCCACAAAGGTCAGTGTGGGGTGTGGGACCAGCCTAGAGGATCCCTCTGAGCTCAGGGTGGGTGCCCCAGCCTTGAGAGTAAACCTGACCTCCTGTGGCTGAGTGGCGGTGGCCTCGGTGCCCCGATCAATAGTGGCAGAGACAGGGTGAGTCCTTGTGCCCTCGCTGCAGACCCTACCTGTCTGGCTCAGCCTCTCACTGCTGTCCCTGCCGGCTGCCAGGGAGGGGCCCTGGACTGGGACCCCCACGGGCCAGTTGCTGACGCTTTTGGATCCTTTCCTCTTGGTCTCTCTCCACCACACTCCCAGGGTGCTGCTTATCTCCTCTGCTGCTTCAGCCCCTCTGTGTTTGGATAATTCTCAGCCCGGAAATTGAGAAGTCTCTGTGCCTTGTGCCGAAGGCCTAGAAACATTACCCAGAAAGTCAGAGGGCCAGCACCTCTCAATTCAGAAATGGACTTCCCAACACTCAAGTTAAATCAGGAAGGAAATTCTACTAACTTTGGTGGGGGTAGGGGCTGTGGCTGGGGACCTTCTCTAACTTCAGTAATTTATGGACCTGTTATCCTATGACCCTTATTTTCAAGTATAACACCACTTAAAGATATATAGACATAAAACTGGGTCTGAGCTTTTTATTTTTACAGCCTTTAAAACCGTATTATATATATCTAGGTCCCAGTTCCTTATTAGAAACTCTTGGAGCCAAATGTGTTTCAGGATTGAGCATTTTTCAGCTCTTAGAAGTTACGAAACTGCATATGATATATGACCTCCAGGACAGTTGGGAAGCCCTCTTTAATCAAAACTAACCAACCAAAAGCAACAACAAAACCACACACACTGGGCGTCTGGGTGGCTCAGTTGGTTAAGCAACTGCCTTCGGCTCAGGTCATGATTCTGGAGTCCCGGGATCGAGTCCCACATCGGGCTCCCTGCTCAGCGGGGGGTCTGCTTCTCCCTCTGACCCTTACCTTCTCATGCTCTCTGTCTCCCATTCTCTCTCTCAGATCAATAATCTTTAAAAAAAAAAAACACACACACACACACTTATAGCTCTGCAGCAAAACATACAAATAGTCACCTAAACAAGCTAAATTGAGACACTAAATAGCTTCATACGAGTTCAGGCCAGGTCTTACTCACAAACTTAGGAGAAAATTTTCAGTTTTGAGTCTTCTGAATTTCATAACTGCAAATAAGGGATTGTAGACCTGTAAAAATTAAACACGACATAACTACAAATGGGGTTCACGACATTAACACAATGTTAATGGCAGTGACAGAAGCCGGTGGCCTGCTGAATTCCATCATGGGTGGGCCATGAATGTGGGAGCATGGGAGACGGTGGGGTTGGAGAAGGCGTGAGTCTGTGCGGTCCACAGGCCTGGACTGGAGTCTGGCATCGCCACTCATTGGCTGGGACACGTCTGGAAGTTAGCCTTCCTGCATGGCAGTTTCTTCATTTTTAAAAGGAAGACAATGGATTAGTGTAAATTTCAAAAAAAAAAAAAAAAGCTAAAATGGAAAATTCCCAAGAATCAACAGCCCCCGGGGCTGAGAACAAAGGAGGGCAGCAGAGAGATGGGGGGTGGTGTGCTCGCATGTACTTATACACACACACACACACACACACACAGGCCGCCACTCAGCACAGACCCTGAAGTCCAGCTGTGAGGGGGCCACACATGTGGCCAGAGTGGGGAAGGATGTGCTTCTCAAAGCGGGGCATGTGGTCTTGGGGACACTGAAAGACACGGAATACACAAGGCACAGATTTGGTGGAACATCCACTTTAAGATTGGGAGTATGTTATGTGGGGGCTGGGGGGAAATATGTTTCGTAATGGTTTATGATGGTGTTGTGTTTATTTTTATATAAAACAAACCTACAACAGCATGGATGAACCTTGAGAACATTGTGCTCAGAGAAATAAGCCAGACACAAAAAGACACCTATTGCGTGATTCCACTGATTTGAGGTAGCTGGGCAGTCTAATTCATAGAGACGGGAAATGGAATGGCGGTTGTCGGGGTGCAGGAGGGGGGAGGGGGTCAGTCCTGAGAGCTGCACAACGGTATGGATGTGTTAAATACCACTGAACTGCACACTTAAAAATGATTCAGATGATACCTTTATATTTTGCCAGAATAAAACAACTAAGTACCCTGTGAAATACAATTACATTAGAAAAAGTCTTTTTTTATTTTTAAAGATTTTATGTATTTATTTGAGAAAGACAGAGATAGTGAAAGCGCAAGCAGGGAGGAGAGGGAGAAGCAGACTCCCTGCTGAGCAAGCGGGGCTTGATCCCAGGACCCCGGGATCATGCCCTGAGCCAAGGCAGACTGCTTAACCGACTGAGCCACTCAGGCGTCCCACAATTAAATTTTTTCTCTCCTTTTTTTTTCAACTCCAGACATTTCTGCCCGGGGCAGTCACTGTGGGCCAGGTCCTAGCTCCTCAGGGTCTCATGTTCCCCTATTGAGCCTTAGTTAGAAAACATGAAGAACATGGTCAGACTCCGCATTTTACAGAGGAGAAAACAGAGGCCCAGAGAGGTGACCCAGTTTGACAGAAACAGGTCTGCAGGGTGCCTCCATCCTGGAGGTAAGAAGCGGAGGCTCTGGGCTCAGCGCCTCTCCGGCTTTCTTGTGGCTGAGTGTGGGGCTGTGACTCATTGTCTCCAAGCTTCCATTTTCTCACCTGTGAAAGGTGGGATAAGGATGACCTGGGAACAGTGCTTGTGATGGGCTCAGTATAGTGTCCGAGGCACATTGATAGTAAATGCTCAGTGGAATTGGTTTTATGGGGCAAGTAGTTTTCTCTGGGGCTTTTCTTGGTTAAATGATGGTTAATCGTATGTGGAACATAAGAAACAGCGCAGAGGATCACAGAGGAAGGGAGGGAAAACTGATGGGAAGAAATCAGAGAGGGAGACAAACCATGAGAGACTCTTGACTCTGGGAAGCAAACTGAGGGTTGCTGGAGGGGAGGTGGGAGGAATGGGGTAACTGGGTGATGGGATGAGCACTGGTGTTATGCACAACTGATGAGTCATTGAACACTACATCTGAAACTAATGATGTACTGTATATTGGCTAATTGAATTAAATTTTTAAAAATGAGGGTTAAGTACAAGTATTAAGAACCATGCTATCCTTGGGGCGCCTGGGTGGCTCAGTTGGTTAAGCGACTGCCTTCGGCTCAGGTCATGATCCTGGAGTCCCTGGATCGAGTCCCTGGATCGAGTCCCTGGATCGAGTCCCTGGATCGAGTCCCTGGATCGAGTCCCTGGATCAAGTCCCTGGATCGAGTCCCTGCCCAGCGGGGAGTCTGCTACTCCTTCTGACCCTGCCCCCTCTCATGCTCTATCTCATTCTCTCTCTCAAATAAATAAATAAAATCTTAAAAAAAAAAGAACCGTGCTATCCTTTATTCCTTCCGCATTCAACGTGGTGACACTGACTCTGGACAAACCCATATATTTCTCAATGTCACAAGCGTGCCCTGGGGGAGGAATCCTGTTTGGATTCAATCTGACCAGCTATTTATAAATAGGGGGTCTCTTGAGCAGATAAAGCCAAGAGGTCATCCCCAGCACAGCCTTGTAAACAAAGGCAAAATTGGTTAATGTTTGCTCTTACTTAAAACTTGTTCCCCCCACACGGCCTGTTTATGTCATCCTGCGTGGAAATCCCCTCCTGTGGACCCCTAATCCACCCATTACATCATTTATTCACCAAACACTTGTTGAGCAACTCACTCCCAGGAGGCCTAGGATGGGGCGGTGATCGCATGCACCCAGCTCCCCCCACCGCTCAGCCAGCTGGTCCCCACACCACTAGAGGGTGTGGGGGGCCTGGGGGCCCGCTGGGAGGCACGCCCCCACGGTCTGCGGGCACTTGCCCTCACTGGCCCCCCTCACCCTGCTCAGAGGCGTCGGGGTGAACAAGACCTCTTCGGGGCCCGGGGGGCTGCGGGAGGCGCAGGAGCGTCCGACCCCAGGGGCGTGGAAGGAAGCCCCGGGCCCCCACAGCCGGAGACGGAACCCGGGGCGGCGGGGGCGAGTCCGGGCGCGGCTGCGGAAACAGCTGGGCTGGCTGGGCCAGTGCGGGGGTTGGGGGAGCTGGGGAATGGGGAATGGGGAACGGGGTCGGACTCGTCTCCGGCGCCCGGGGCGGGACAGGGGCCCTGTGCAGGGGCGGCCAGGCCTCGCCCTCCTCCTCGTCCTCGCCCGCCAGGAGGCTGGAGCGCTGCCCGGGGAGACGAGCTGGAGGGCCTTCCCGGGGGCCAGGGAGCCCGGTGCCCCGGCAGCCCCCGCCTGCTCACCCGGGACCTCCAACTGGGACGGGCCTCTCGGGGTCAGATCGCCTGCCTCCCCTCACAAAACTGTTGACCAGTGCATTTGACTTAAAAACGAAAATCAATTCATGCCACAATTATCATAGGCTTGGAGTGCCTTGGTGAGTCCACCCATCGTTAACGACCAAAGTTGCATAATCACTTGTAACAAGTCTGTGACTTACCTCACCAAGTTATCCACAGCACAAGAGGGAAAGGGGGAAATCTGGTCCTTGCCGGCTGCAAGGAGTCCCTCAGAGGACCCGCTACCTGCGGACAGGGGCAGGGGAGAAAACCCGGTCCCTTTGTCTCCCCAGGGCGGGCTGCGCCGGGGTCCTTGCCACGGGCCCGCCTGACACATAGGGGCGCCCTGGCTTAGACGATCCTGCATCACCAGAGTCCAACGGGCTGCGCCGTCAATAGCACATTCACCCCGAGGCAGGCTGGCTGCACTGTGGGGTTCCCTTAGCAAACACTCATGGGATTCCCTTCTGAACGGCCAGGGGAGCCATAGTAAGAACATACGAAGTCTGGCCCTCCCCTCCCAGCCCGGCCCGGGAGGGCGCCCCCCGGAGAGAGACCGAGTGAAGGCAGAGGTCAGCCGGGATAGAAGAGCCCTTCCCCTTCCATGGGCACTTTACGGCCCTCAAGCCTGACGATGTTTCTTAACTGATGACCTTCTGGCTGCGTTATTCCAGAGAAGACCCCTGAACTAGGAGGGAAAGGGGCGGGGGAAGCGTGGGAAACCCACCCCGGCAGAAGGATGGCAGAGAGGTCGTGTTCAGCGTTTGAGAAAATCTTAAGAAATCATACATTCGCAAGTAAAACCCAGTCACCTCACTAAACAAGCCTTACGCTATTTTATGGCATATGTAGGCAAATCCGATTAGTAAAGAGAAAAACTACTGCCTGATGAGTTACAATACTTGGTGGACAAAATCTTCGAAAATCTAGATGCAGGATGAAGTCCCTGAAATCTCTCCTCAGTCTCTCTCGGTATTTGAGAGACTACTCTGTATCCATCCCTGTGATAGCCCTATCCAGAGGGGATGTGCCAGCCCTTAAAGAACTCGCTTAAATCCAGGTATTTAAATGTAGTGTAAATATAGTGATCTAGCTCCCAGTTTTTTCTACTCTCAGATCTTCCTTGTACATATCACTGAGTTTATTTATTTTTTTAAGATTTTATTTATTTGACAGGGAGAGAGAGAGAGCAAGCACGAGCGCACAAGCAGGGGGAATGGCCGGGAGAGGGAGAAGCAAATTCCCTGCCAAGCAGGGAGCCCTATGCGGAGCTCGATCCCAGAACTCTGGGATCATGACCTGAGCCAAAGGCAGACCCTCAACCGACTGAGCCACCCAGGAGCCCTGATATCGCTGAGTTTAGTGCACTTGACTAGGTCTGCTACCCAAGAAAACTAATCACAATCAGAATCTTACCTGCAGTCCACCTGAAGATATGCTATGGGTAGAGGGGTAACAAAATCCTTTCCTCTTTCCCATGAGGAATTGACCTGGGGTTACTACATAATTAAAACAATTTTAGGGGGGAAAAAGGACAAACAGTGGCAGCAAGAGTATGTCACCCCTTGTCCTAAGAATCAAGACTCCACTGGAGCGCCTGGCTGGCTCAGTTGGTGGAGCATGTGACTCTTGATCTCAGAGTTGTGAGTTTGAACCCCATGTTGGGTGTAGAGATTACTTAAAAATAAAATCTTTAAAAAAAAAGGAATTAAGACTCCAACAAACTTGGTTTGAGGCTCTTCCATTTCTCCCCTTTAGAGGGTGTGGCATATGAGGCACAGAAGGACGAGCCCCTGTAAGAGAATCAATCTTGATCAAGATTAAGAGGTCCCTATGCTGAAAGACCCCTGTGGTAGGCCAGGTTACATTCTCCATGGTTTCTACAAGTCATCTAATGAAGAAGGTATATTCTCAGTAAATATGGAAACAGATTTAGTTAGCTGATTGGGTTTTCCTCTGGGTAAATCATCACTTTAATTAAAAAACCAATTATCCTTGGGTGTCTCTCACATACTTCTTCCTTCCTGATTTTTTGGTGAATGTCCTTCATCTTAATGCCAATTCAGAATCTTCCCTTTTTTTCAAACTTGGTTCCAACTTTGTTTCTGGAAAACATTCTGATCTTAAACCCTGTCTTTTGTGGATCTGTTGCTTTGCACTCCCAAATGATGTAATGAGTCAACACTGTACTTGATTGTTACTCACATATGCTGTCCTCTCACTTTTAACCAGATCCTAAGCTATTGGTGGGCAAGGACTCCCTCACCACACACATACAGAGCACACAGAAGAGTCTCCAGAGAAAATGGCTGGGCTACAGAAGACTGTGGTACTTACCTTAGTGATGCTAGGAAATCCAACCTCATTATTCTTGCTTCTCAACCCTGCTTGAGGACATTCTTCATTCTCTTTAAGAACCCGAAAAATCGGGGCGCCTGGGTGGCTCAGTTGGTTAAGCAACTGCCTTCGGCTCAGGTCATGATCCTGGAGTCCCGGGATCGAGTCCTGCATCGGGCTCCCTGCTCAGCAGGGAGTCTGCTTCTCCCTCTGACCCTCCTCCCTCTCATGCTCTCTGTCTCTCATTCTCTCTCTCTCAAATAAATAAATAAAATCTTAAAAAAAAAAAAAAAAAGAACCCGAAAAATCAGAAACCTCTCCCAGCTGATGAGAACAAATCATGGTATTTCTGTGGCGGACTCTAGTGACATGGCCTATGAGATTCATAAAAGCAAATGATGTCTGTGATTCCCAAAGATAGGAAT